GTCCTCCCGGTTCTGCGCAGTGGATGATCTCCCATAATGCATTGCGCCAAACACGCGTGTGTGGGTCTCACACCGGGTCTCACGCACGTGCACAGAGGGGCTCGGCCGCGCTTTGACCAATCAGAGCAGTTCATCAGAGCGGGAGTTAGAGCGAGAGCCAGAGGAGCAGAGTTTGTGGCACTAAAGTGTGGATTTAAACAAAACCGAAGGATTTAAGAAGAAAAAAAGTTCAGGATGACAAGGGACACTAACATCCCCACAAAATCCGATCTTTATTAAAGCTGTAGGTTCTCTGTCAGCTGAGGTTGAGCTGTTTTAATATGCATTGAGTTCTATGGGGAAAATTTCTGGGTGGCCCACGTGAATTTAGTCTGGTTCAGTCTGCAGTACCGCGAGAATCCCCTGAGCACGTGAGTTATTCAGCTACAAGCTAGTAATACCCTATCCAGTTAATATAATACATCCATGCTCTTACGTCCTGTCCTGCGTTGGGGAAAAACACAGAAGTGGGCGGAGCTTTGATGCAGATGCCGGTAACGGCACTTTTACAGTCATAGAAGACTAAAGACGTATGTTTACAAGCACTGACCCCGTCCTCAGCCCTGATTTAGTCCTGGTTTAGTCCTGGTTTAGTCCTGGTTTAGTCCTGGTTTGGTTGTTTTCGAGCGTGAGTCCCTGCGATCACTTTGCTGCTCTCTGATGTGGAGCGAGGATGTTCGCTGCTGCGAGCATCTCACAGCGAACAGTTTTTAAGGTAGTATGATCCATGCTTCAGTGATTAGAGGAATTTAGGGGGGTACTGTGTCGTGCGAGAACACACACACAAATGCAATAACGGAGTTTTCAAAAATCTCCACTTTGCCCGGAGTTTTTTTGTATATATTCGTTTAGAATGTGTAATTTTTTCATTTATTTAATGCGATCTACCAATACTACCTTTGCGATCGACTGGTAGATCGCGATCGACGTATTGAGCACCCCTGGTCCAGACCATAGACTGTAATGTCCAGACACACATCACTGCTCTGTGCAGCATTCAGTAGATATCTGGATTGCAGTTTGATTTTGGTTTGGAGACGCTACAATTTAAAGTCTACAGGCATACAGGACATAGAGTGTATCACTCGGTATGTATGAGAATGGAGCAGTTGGCTAATTTAATCTTAATCAAAGCACTTATGTACATATCTTTCTGAAGGTGAAAAGTGACATGACACAACAAGTGTGATGTGAAGAGAAAAATCAAATTAATGTAACTCATTCACTATTAGTAGGCAGTATCATATTCTATATATACCTGTGCCATTCCTTTAGTGATAACACAAAGAATACATATCAGAAAAACATCTGAAGTTAATCAGTCTAATCAGGAAAATCTAATTCTTGTTCCGTGTAAGAATCAGCCGACCACAACCGCTGATCCTGAAACTTTGAAACTTGCTATGCTAAATGTCAGATCTCTTTCTAACAAGTCTTTTTTAATCAATAATTTTATTTGTTCTTATAATCTAGATCTTATGTTCATGGCTGAAACATGGCTTGACCAAAATACAGAAAATGCAGTTTTAATAGAAGCATCACCACCAAATTTCAAATTTGAATCTGAAATACGGGGAAACAAAAAAGGAGGAGGCTTAGCTGCCATTTTCAGAGACCACTTTGTCTCCCATAGAATGTCTCTTGGGAAGTTTCCGTCTTTTGAATATGTGTCTTTTAAAATACAAAAAAAACAATCTCCTCCAATACTTTTCGTTGTCCTATACAAGCCACCGCAGTCATGTCACAGTTTTATTGATAATTTTACAGAGTTGCTTTCAGTTGTATGCACAGATTTTGATAGCTTAGTTATTAGAGGGGATTTTAATATTCATGTGGATAATGTTGATGACAGAAATGCAAAAGAGCTGAGTTCTGTTCTTTAATCTTTTGGTCTCACTCAGCATGTGAGTGGCCCCACCCACAGCAGAGGGCACACTCTAGACCTGTTAGTTACAAAGAGGGTGAACATTTCTAATGTAAACGTGGTCGATGTTGCGCTTTCGGATCATTTTTGTGTATTTTTTGACATGTGTTTCACTAACAAACCACCAGTGGACTCTGCAACTGTACGAAGAAGACACATAAATGAAAATACGGGTGAACTATTTATGGGAATGATAAACTTTGAGAATGCATCGTATTCTACTGTAGATGAACTGTTTAACTCTGTCACCTCTAGTGTTTTGAATGTTCTGGACACCATCGCTCCTGTGAAGGTTAAAATAGTGAAAAATAAGCAGAAGGCGCCGTGGGCTAAAGCAGACTCGGTCAGGGCACAAAAGAGAGAGTGCCGGAGGGCCGAGCGGAAGTGGCGCAAGTCCAACCTCCAGGTTGATTACAAGATCTTCAAAGATAAGTGCGAGTTTAACCAGGTGCTACGTAGTACGAGAGAAAGGTATTTTTCTGAAATGATTGAAGGCTGCAGCAACAATCTGCGTGTTCTGTTTTCAACAGTTAATAGATTAACAAACCCCCCTGTTCAGATGCCATTAGAGCTTACTTCCGAACGTAAATGCAATGAGTTTGCATATTTTTTCAATGACAAGGTTCAAGGCATCAAAAACGCCATTGTCTCCAATCCACAGATAACCATCCAACAACCAGAAAGGCTCTTTGAGCTAACTTACTTTGCACTTGTAAATGATCAAACTGTCCAAGAGATAATCTCCAGTTTGAGCTCCTCCACACGCAGCCTGGATGTACTACCCACTAGATCTCTAAAGTCTGTTCTGAGCAGTCTGTTACCTTCACTCACACAGATAGTAAACATGTCCCTTAATTCTGGAATATTCCCAAAGGCCCTGAAAACTGCAGTCATCAGGCCCCTGCTAAAAAAGAGCAGTCTGGATGCTACGGTACTTAACAACTATCGTCCCATCTCAAATCTGCCATTTATGGGGAAAGTCCTTGAAAAAGTTGTCTACCAACAGCTAAATAGATTTCTTATAATCAACAACTCATTTGATATGTTTCAGTCCGGCTTTAGACCCCACCACAGCACTGAGACTGCTCTCGTCAAGGTTACAAACGATATCCGGCTGAACACTGACGCAGGCAAAGTCTCAATCCTAATCCTGTTAGATCTGAGTGCTGCCTTTGACACTGTCGACCATGAGATCCTCTTACAGAGACTAGAGGACTGGGTTGGCGTCGCTGGCACCGCCCTAAGTTGGTTTAGGTCTTACCTTGAAGACAGGAAGTACTTTGTGGAGATTGGAAACTGTGTCTCAGATCATATGGCCCTGACCTGTGGAGTACCACAGGGGTCGATCCTGGGACCTCTTCTGTTCAATCTCTACATGCTGCCGTTAGGTTAGTTAATACGCAGAAACAAAGTGTCCTATCACAACTATGCAGACGACACTCAGATCTATGTCTCACTGACTGCAGGAGAACATGGACCAGTGGACTCACTCCTTCACTGTATCCAACAGATCAGTGAGTGGATGCAAAACAACTTCCTTCAGCTAAACGCAGACAAAACTGAAATGATTGTCTTTGGTCCCCAGAAACAAAGAGAGAGCGTCATCTGTCATCTACAGTCTCTCTCTAAAACCTTCAAACAAGGTCAGAAATCTAGGGGTAATACTGAACTCAGACTTAAATTTTAATAGCCACATCAAATCAGTAACATCAGCAGCCTTTTACCATCTAAAAAACATTGCCAGGATCAAAAACATAGTGTCTAACGCAGACTTGGAGATTCTTATCCATGCATTTGTCTCCAGTAGGTTAGACTACTGCAATGGCCTGCTCACAGGTCTGTCCAAACAGGCTGTAAAACAGCTGCAGTACATTCAAAATGCAGCAGCTCGAGTCCTGACTAGAACCAGGAAGTACGACCATATTAGTCCGGTCCTTAGGTCTCTGCACTGGCTTCCTGTGGCTCAGAGAATAGACTTTAAAACAGCTCTGCTTGTGTACAAGTCTCTCCATGGCCTCGCACCAAAATATATTAGTGACATGTTAGTCCCATATGAACCAGCCCGGACTCTGAGGAGCACAAGGACTGGACTCCTGTTAGTGCCCAGAGTCAGAACTAAACATGGGGAGGCTGCTTTTCAGATTCATGTTGCTAAAATCTGGAACAATCTTCCTGAAGATGTGAGACAGGCCTCCTCTCTGACAATGTTTAAAACCAAGTTAAAAACGGTGCTGTTTAGCTGTGCATACAACTGAGGGATTTTATATTTGTATCTTTCTTTTTAATGTTCTGTGATTATTTATGATTTTAATGCTATCTTGTTCAGCAATTTGAGTTGCCTTGTGTATGAATTTTGCTATACAAATAAACTTGCCCTGCCTTGCCTTGCCTTGCCTTGCCTATTAATATATCTATAGATTATATTATTATTTTGAGACACAAAGAACAGTATCATAAATACTTAGTTTGTTCCTGTCCTGTCTTTCTTCATGTCTATTGACCATCTGTTTTCAAAATGAAGCTAAATTGTATTGAAAGCCAAAGTATTAGGATCTGTGTCAGCCTCATGGTCAGCTTTGAGAAACCTGGATTGGCGTTATGGACCATTTTTTGTTGAAAGTCAACTATCCGAAGATTACAGCTAAAAGAACAATATTATTCTGTGGACCAACAGGAGACCTTCTTCCTGTAGCTCTTGGTCAGGAAAAAGGTTTTCATATCTTTTAGTGCCATTCAAAATACAATAAAAAAGTTACGCACTAATACTCATCAGAAGCTCCAAAACATTTCTTCCAGTGAATGGTGTTATCTAGCCCTTGTACAATATCATAAAAACAACACGTAGCACCTTGGGCCACACGGGCACGTTGTCAACTGTGACTCTGTAGGCCGCAGAGTAGTGGTCCATCTATTGGATTAGTCAGGGATTTGAGAGCGGTGGTATTAATCTGAGAGACAGCAGCAGGACCCGGGCACAGCACTCACCACAGCCGCTGTTCATAGCGGAGACGTCACACCGCTCTGCTCCTGCGCCAGAATGAACCTCTTCTGCTTCTCCCTGGTACGTCTGCCACTTCACTACTACGAGTATTAATGATGATGATAGTACTTCCCCCTTGGACACGGCTAAATGCACCTGTCTGCTATTTGTAGAAGACACCTGTGTGTGACGTGTGTGTGCATTTCCCTCATGAATTTAAAAGGTTATTTAAAGTGCATGGATCTCCATTGAGTGTTTCCCAATCTGTGGTACCAGTACTATCCCTTCTTGTAGACCTATTCCTCTGGAGTTCAATATACGCTTTTGAAATGATTGTATTTCACATGATTCTCTCCCAGTAGGTTAATCACATTTAGAACTACTACAGCCCTAATCATTGCAGCACAGACAAGTTTTAGATGGTGGAACTCAGCAGCCTTTCTACATATTTAGATTTAGCTGTCCTTTTCTTGGTCACTCAGAGTGGTATGTTTGAGAACAGCTGGCCTGTAATGCATTATTAACAACTTGATCAAATACAACATATTTTTTTGATCATATAGTTTTCTTTTTTAGTATATTCAATTTATTGTGTTTTGAATTAATCTATAACTGCTTACCTGTTGGGGAAAGTGGTGGATTAAGTGCTTGTTTTGAGTCTTGCTAAGTGAAGTGTGGGACGACCCAGATGGCACCTCAGATGCTGCAGCAGATGCCACGTGGACACAGTGAGAATGAAGGAACTTGTCTCCGAGCAGATGTCCGCCACTGACAGGATTATTAAGAGGCATTCAGCCACAATAAACACCACAGATCTGTTTGTCATTAAGTTCAGTAAGAGTTCAATACAAGCATTCACTTTAACAACAAGTTACTGCTTTCCCACAGCACTAATTACTTATTTCCTTAATCGCTGTAAATTTAGCCTACAATGAGGTTTTTTTTAAATGATATTTTCAAATCAGAAAAGCAAACTACTGGTGGTGCATGTAACTATTCATTTTCATCTTGATCAGTTATGACGTTGTGTAGATATATGCACACCTCCTCCAGCAAAACCGGGGACATCCCAATGTTCCTAGGCCAGCTTAAAGACATAGCCCCCGTCCAGCAAGTCTCGGGTTAACCCTGGGGTCTCCTCCTGGTGGGACTGTCCAGGGCACTTGCCTTACTTCTACTAGATATTATGTTAATCCAACCAACATGTCATGACAAAAGTTAAATTTACACTGAAGAAAGTGATGAGCCGATGATGTGAAGAGAAAAATTCCCACTGTTGAGGTGGTGATGAGGAGAAGGAAGGTTGCTGAACGAGCTGAACCTTAGTGGGAAGCTGTGAAGCACTGTCCAACTGCAGCCAGTGAAAGCAGATGGGATAGTGACCATGGGAGATATTTCAGGCTTCCAGGCTGATGTTGTTGCTTTAGCTCCATCACACTGGTTTTCAGTTAAAGTTTTCTTTGAGTTAAACCTGTGTTATATTTGTATATTTATAAAAAAAATAAAAATCAACTTATTTCTGTGTTATACTGCTATATATGATGCATGTGCTTTGTTAAGCCAAACAGAATGAGATTGTGTTTCCTAAAGAAAATCAAAGGAACACATTCCTCGAATACTGCTTATGGAATACATTTTAATCTTACACAAAATCTGACATATTTCAATCTTGCCCTACATGCACAGACAATTCTAAAGCCATTCTAAAGTGTATGAAATATAAATCTCTTTTGGTGTGGCTCCAATCTGTAAACCTCATATCATAGAGGAGTTTCATAATCTTTAAAAAATCTGATTAATTTGCGAACATTTTGTGCTCAATGTGATTAAAACCAGCTCAAAGTTGATTCCTGCCAAAATTTGACATCTGTCTACTTTACGGCATTCACACAAAAATGCTGAAATGTATCAAAACAACTGCTGCTGTTGCTGTTGAGGTTTCTGGCCACAAAAATATCAAAGGCTACCAAACATGGTCATTTTCTAGGTCATTTATATTTGAGTAAATCTTTAATAACTATGATATAGTAATGACCTGACTTGTGGTATTGATCGGTTCACCTACGGTACTGAGCAAAAAAACTTCCAATCTAATCCAATTTATATAGTGCTATTCATTTCAAAACACTAATGCAATTCATAAAATTGCTAAAATAAATGAAACACACAAAAATATCTAAATCAAATCCCTGAAACACCAGCAAAATAAAGACAACAACAACAACACAGAGACATTGTCAAAGAAAAAGGTGAATTCATATATTGTTTCCAGAAGTGTGCTTTGAGGTGTTATTGTTGTCATAGCATCCATGCATTTGTATCCTTGATGATTTTGCTCATAACCTGTCTGTCCTTACCCTGCATAAAAAATGTCTGTCATTCATCAGGAGGGGTCCATGGACAGCTTGTATGAGGCAGTCCAGAACTCAGAGGACCCCCCACGGCCCGTCCCCAGCCGAGCCTCCAGTCGCCCCTGCAGCCGCTCTGTGAGCCGCTCTGGAAGTCCTGCTCTTCTGCTCGATGACAATAAGAAATGGAGGGGCTCCGGAAAGTCCATTTCTATGGTACAGTGTATTTCATTCAGTTGTTATGATAGTGTTGTGTGTATCTGCTTTGTTCTGTCTTGCTTTGTTTTGTTAACCATAGAGTTTGTCCTGTATTAATCTTATTTCCCTGCTTATGACTTGCTTGTCCTGCTTAATGCTTTAAATGAGTCTTTTGTGTTCTCTGTAGTTGTTGGATCTTTTTGTGCTTTGAAAGAGGAACTGTGATTTGCATGAATGTTTTAATGGATTTTATGTGATTTTTTTGTAAATTACTTTGGTTGCCTTAAGTGTTGTAAAGGGCTCTATAAATAAAAATGGATTGATTGATACTTGGTAAAGGAGGCTAGTCTTGTGACCACATAACCTCTGGGAACACCAGCCACAGTGGGGCGGCTGCGGCTGTAAAGTGCCAAACTGCCGTTGTGTCCTTAGGCAAGACACTTCATTGCCTAGAATGAGTCTGGTGTGTGTGTGAATGGTTGGTGGTGGTCGGAGGGGCCGATGGCACATACTGGTTGCCTCGCTTCTGTCAGTGTGCCCCAGGGCAGCTGTGGCTACAGTAGTAGTTCATCACCACTGTGTATGAAGTGAATGAATAATGAATGTGAAGAGTTTTTGAGTGTCCAGAAAAGCGCTATATAAAACCGATGCATCATTATTATTATGAATGCATTTTTCTAAATATTGTTGGACAGGTGATGCACAGTTTGGTATTTGATTGATTGATATTATGATTATCTTGTTTTTGTGTCTTTTACTGACTTAATTTTACTTTAATGAACATTTGCAAATTAATTACGTAACCAGATTAGACCAACTGTGTAAAAATGGACAAAAGCAGCTGCCGAATTATGCAAATTTATCCTTGTTGCGTAATTGCAATTACATAAAGTAAATGTGCCTGCCATTGTATTGTGTGAAACTAGCTATCTGTTTGTCTTGTATCCAGGACTTGAATCAAACCTCAACCAACACCAATAAAAAGAAACGAAGGTGAGATGACCATTATGTTTAAACAAAGGGTAAACAATAGCTCCAAAATGTATTTTTATTACAACAGTATTTTGATTTTGTCCAGCTTTTGTCAATCTTGTTTTGTTGAAAATGTGCCGATAATAATGAAAAGCTCCTGCTCGTAGTAGAGACAGGGCTTTCCCCATACTCTGTAGAAATATAGTGGCTTTAAAGGTTCGCTGTTTTAATTTCAGGGTTAATCCCTCTGGCTGCGACTGGCGCTCCACTGAACTCCATCTGTATTATTGCTCTGGAGCTGATTCTCTAAAAACTATGCTACGCACAGTCACTATAAACAAATATTCAGAATTTTTACCAGATAATAATGATGATTTTTTTACCAGATAAAAATTATGCCCCAGTGTGTTCGGCGTCTTGTCTACGTGATCACAATGTGTGGAGTGAATCTCTGAACATTGAAAAGTGCTTTGGTTGACCTTGGTCTTTGAAAATGCTTACTTACTTACTAAATAATGAAGAGAGCCTTATTATCATTTTAATTACCAACAAGAGAAAATAGTGCCTAAAAATGTATATATCTCCAATACATGGGGACAACCAGGTCAAGCCAACAGTAGTCAATGTACACATTCACATACAGTCATTTTGTGAATGGACAGGATTAGCTGAGATTTTTTAAGTGCAGTATTATCATTTGTTGAAAGGAAATGGGTGTGATGCAATGGTGCAGATTATATCACTGGATCCTCATCAATGTAAGAGGATTCAACACCTTCACTCCCTCCGTTTTGACATTTATCAAATATTGCAATAAAATATACATCATGCACAGTGAGATGAGACTGATTGTACCATGGATTATAAAGACTAAACAAAGAGAAATTAAATATAACACAGTATTTTGTGTTTATTTCAGAACACACATATCCAAATCAGCATCAGACAATGAGGCTTTGGGTAAGTTCATTAAGTAAGACAGTTTTATAAGTCTACGTTTTCCCCACAAGACACAAATATTGTTATAATATTGAGATATTTATTGTAGTTTTCAATAAAGATAAATGTTGCTCATGTCACATGTATTTTCTTCCTTCGTTATCATGTTGTTTGTCCCGGTGCATTGCAGACAGTCCGAGCTGTAATAATGCTGCTGTTTGGCAACCAGCCAGAAGTCAAGAAGATTTATCCCACATCCCCCACCTGCACCACCAAAATGAAGGTAGTGCAACATTATTCTTGTGCAATCCAGTTTCAGATGTTCCACAAATGTATTTATTAATCACACTTATGTTGCTTTGTAGAAATGAAAGGGATTAAACACAGAACAGAAAATAAAGGCGGAAAAGGAACACATCATTCTGGCCCAAAGAAAAAGGAGAAACCACCTTTAAGTCAGGTAAAGAAACACAATTTTCATAATTCACATAAGAAAACAAAATCTGAATTTAGTGCTGATTTAACCAATTTCAATGTACTTTAGGGCAATGGCCATGACTCCAAAAATAATATCAAAAGAGGCCAAAAGTCTGGGAAGAAACCAGTTGCAAAAAGTGTGAAAGACGGAGCAAAGAAGCCTCCCCACTCCAGAGGTACAAGCATCACACGACCAAGCAGCTTTAATGTTGATTTGTTTTATGGAATTATGATAAACATGTAGCGGTTTACAGACTCATTCTGCAAAGGTGACCTCAGGTAAAGGGAAATTACTTTTTTTGTGTAGGGAAATCTCCAGCAGGTGTCATGAGCCCTCTCGCTGGGAACTACCTGGATGTTCAATACAGGTGCGACAGACGACCATATATGGATAAATGTTCCACACTTCCTACTCCAGATAATTATGCCCCTGGACGTGGAATGGAAAAAGTCAGTCTTCCTGGAGGAGCGACACCCACCCATGCGCACCGCTGGAGTAACCCAGGAGAGGGCAGTCCTCTCTGGGGCAGTGTCCCACACACATGCCACCGGCCGCTCACCGAGTACCACACCCTCCAGCAGGACTTCACTGTGAAGGACTGGGATGGGGGGCAGCAGAGTGCAGGACCACCCCCGGACAGCAGCCTCAAGCAGAACATGAAACCTCAGGCTCCTGCCAAAGTGTCGCGGTCCACCAGCAACGTGGAACTGTCCCAACCAAATGTAAGACACTCCTCATGAATACTGGATTAGTAAGTTGTTCAATCATCACACATCATTCATACGTTCATATATCTGACTGCAATCAAGAGTAGACATAACTGTGGACTTCACCAGGTCCAGCTCCTATTTGGTTATTGTTATTGTGTTAGGATTTAGCAGACAGAGACGGATCGTGGTGTGCCAAACTCTGGAAGTTTATTTAAGTTTCTCTCAAGTTCCACTGTTTTACTCTGTTTCTTTCTCTCAGACAGAATAAAGGCAGTACACAGTTTATATAGTCATTGTCACGTCACACATCGAAAGACATACGTGTCACAAAGAGACAGTCACATCATAGTCATAACATGGAGTCCTTGTAGAGTCCTTGTACAGTCCTGCACGTAGGCCATATTGCTATCTAATACTAACACCCTCCCCTTTGATCACATAATCACATGTGATCACTCAATTTGATCAATCAATAAAGTGGAAAAAGAAAAAAAAAAAAATCAAAAAAAAAACTTTAAAAAATTATTAAAAACAAAGAAAATGTATGCATTAAACTCATAATCATCAAATCAATATCATTCGATTTTATCCTCTATCCTGGAAAAAAAACAAACAAACAAAAATAAAGTAAATAAACAAACAAAAAACAAATCAAAAATAAAAACAAACAAAAACTATTGGACACACAAGAACTCAGCAGATTCAGTCAAAACACAGACAAAAACGAGCTGAGTCTCAAATTTGAAGCTAATTTCACTTTTATTACTCTATACTTTTATTCTAATGATAATTGTTTACACTACACTTCAATTATTTCACTGTATTATTTTCACTTTTTAATCTTATACTGTGTACTTTACTCTCTATTCACTATAGTTTAAACTATTCTAATCTATTTACAAATATGTTTGCATATTTGCTTCTATTGAGCCATATTCTTAAACATACATTTTAATCTAACAAATCTCTCTGTGGTATTACACTCTCATTATCAGTGGCATATTATTAGTGGGATTTGGCTCCATGTCTATTCTCATTCTCAGGAATAAAACTGTGAACACAGTAAGGCAAATGGTCAACATTTACACTTCTATAGTGGTCAGTGATTTATTACTTTTTATTATCTAAAGATATTATTGTCAGGCAGTTTGGGATGAATGTACATCATTAATCAAATTAGTATTATCCTAATAGTAGCTAATTAGGTTTGGGGTTGGGGTCAGTTATTCTACAATGGTGTTTGTGCTGGAAACTTCTCCATATCTAAATATCTACTATTGTGTTTTTGTGCTATACCCAAATACATCAAAATGCTTTTAAATGCTTTTGAATCTCTGTTGGTTCTAATCTATTTCATTGATCTAGGCATTAATCTAGGCTACACTCATATGGACTTTTGCATTGTCAACATTCACCAATGTTTGAACACAAGTGAATTTGGCAAGTATCTAATAAAACTGTACATAAACTGTAATTAACTTGATCTACTTTTGAAGTAAATGCTTGTGAAATGGTCCCTTTACCATTTGATATTAGCACTGGCTACAAATAATCTCTATTTTTGAAAGCATCTATGGTTGATGCATTTATCTATTCCTATTTCTACACTATTGTGACTCTAAAGTTTGGCTGCAGTTTGAGCAAAGGCATATTCCTAATTTGTGACTTCTGTCACTTTTAATATCTCTAAAATACTCTGATTCTAATATTATAGCTGATCTATCAAAAGGATAACATTGTAGGGTACTATTTTAACTCTTACGTGGAAATATGTTTATGAAAAACAAAGGAAGTCAAATTCTACTCTTTTACTACTATTTAACATCTACTAAAACGCTACAATACTTATACTTTATCATTTTCAAAGTTTTTGTCTGTCAGATGTCTGAATACTTAACATGTATATTGCATTTGTCACAGTTGTGGTTCTGGTTGTAGCAAAAGCATCGGCAATAGACGTTTTCATTGGCTGGTTCTTGTTCTGCAAATGGCTGTGTCCAATAGATCATCAGATGTCCAGAAGCTAGGGACAAACAAAAACAAAAGAAGAATCATGAGTATCTCTCTCATTTAGCACTCATCAATGTATGATTTCAAAAATATAAACATCACTCCCCAGTTTTCTCTCTCAGATCCTCAGGGTCCTCAGGGTGAGTCTCAGTCTGGTCCATCAGGTCAGGTCATATTTCGAGAGATGTCATCTTGGACATCAGTAGGGTCCAAGCCATGGCTCTGGTCTCTCCAGTTGGACATCAGATCTCCAGATACAGTCTTTTCACTTGAAGCACATCAGGTCATTTGCGATGCACTTCTGGTCAATGGTGCAGTGTCTCAGTTCCTGTACACAGCTTGTTATGCAGTAGTTATTCTCTATGGTTAAGTCATTTTGATTCTACTTTAAAGACAATTTCTATTCATGCTGTTGCTAATGTCTCTCAGACAAAAGCAAGCGCAGTTTACTTCTCTAATTTGTGTTTTTATCAGATCTAATTCTCATCAATGTAATTACTTCACACAGTACAAAATCAACAAATCAAAAGTGTCAGGACAATTGTTAACGGTATTGTAGTTTTATAACTGCTGCTGGTCTTAAAATACAGATTTTAATAATACTTATAAAGTACCTTGTGTGTCATGATTGTCCTTCCCATTCATGACACTAATTTTGAGTAAACTTGTGAAACGACTGACCCGCAAAGTTAGATACATCAAGCCTTTATTTGTTATAATGTTGATAATTGGCTTTTAAAACCCCGAATAAAACATTTCAGAGTAATTGAATCTTTGAAAATCGACTCTAAACCCTAATCATCAAAAATACAACAAACAAATGCTTGGCATGTCACTTTGTCGATTTCATATTTTGGTTTCACATTACAGAAATAAATTAACTTTGGAATGTTATTCTAATTTTTTGAGTTTCACCTGTTTACAGGAAAACGTTACTATTTCTTTTGGTGGTATTTATTATGGCTGAATGTACTGTATTAGTTCCATGCACACACATGTAACACACTAACAATAATGCAACATGACAAGATGGGCCAATCATCACTTCAACTCACTGGATTCAGCGTCCTCTGTCTCAATGTCCAGGCCTTGTCCACAAAAGAGATTTAATTTTTTTTAAAGCCAATATAACATTTCACCATCAGACAGCCAAAAAAAATCATGAATTGTCTTACATTCATTCATACCTATAGTACATACATACGTCCTCATTAGATTATTTAGCAGTAATACTCAATCATGAGAGGCCAGTGGTCATCCAGCTCATCTCTTCAGTGACCTACAGGCCTTTGTCTTTCATTTTCTGACCATTTTGGAGCTTATGGGGGTCACGTGTAACACTGCGACACAAAGCTTGAGCTTAACATGACTTTAGAGAAAATCATCCAAGATGAAAAGGATGATCCACGTGAGAGAATAAGACCCTATAGATCCGCCTGTATGTGCGGTGTCACTGGACTGGTAGCTTCTTAAAGCCAACAACAGACATGAAATGGAGCTAAAGACGTCTCCAGTAAGAGCAACAGTCATGAACTCATGCAAGATGACATCAGGGAAGTTCTTTATGCACTTAGTATATTAATATAAAATAGACAAAATATTATTTCACATTTATCCCCTTTTTTGTTTTAAAGTAAAATAACTTGCTAATGTATTCACCTTTGTAATGTATTTTCTCCTTATATATATATAGATAATAATGATACTTTTCTGCACGATATACTTTATTTTGTCATATGTTTTATTACTCACATAATAAATGACTCCAAACAACATAAAAACTGCAGCTCACTGAATAACATTATCGTAAAATCTCTACTTCAACTGTATGCAAACATAGCTCAGAAGAAAGCAGGCCGCTGCAGTTACAGAAAAATATAATCTGGATTGAGAGCAGCGTGAGAGAGATTGCATTCAGATTAAGCAATGACTTTTGTCTCGTTTGCAGAATTCCCTTCTTTGTTGAGAGAAATCTGCCACGTTGAATAAACAGTGGCAATTCCTACATAGCATCAGGCGAGCACAGTGACGCTTAGGGCACGTTCTTGAAATTATATATATATTTAAAAAACTGTTGACTGAAGTGTGGTTTGTATGTTTTATAGAAATTATTCAATGCAAAAAGTAGAAAAGATTCCAAAAAAGGCTCAAAACATTAGAAAGCTAAAATCAGCCGAGGTCTTTAAATATCATACTTAGGTCAGCAGTTCCTCAAAAGTGCTCACCCCATAATTATGAAATAAATGACAAAAAAGAAAATGTCCACCGTCACTTACCAACATCAACTTCCTCTTTGGTATTTTGCACGGGTTTTAGCAATAGCAATAGGAAGACATTGGTTTTTATCTTACAGCTTAATTCGTAAATCAAACAAAAGTGACTAATACATATCCAAACTACATTTTCATAAGCCCAATATAGAAATGACTGGAAGTGATTCTTGATGCTTTCATTTCTCAAGCCACAAATGCACACTTTAGCAGTATTTTTCCCTTCAAAGCGATATTGTGCTCAGTAGCTGCATCATGCCGATTGCCTCACATCCTGTTCACAAAAAGGAAGTGGAGTGTCACCACCACAGACCTCAACCAATTCACCCTGGCCCGAAATCAGACGCACCGGAGACAAGACTAAGGTTAGGACAGGCAGCAGGAATAAGTAGTGCTAGGAGAAATAGTAATAGACAAAATGTTGCAAAGAGCAGCATCCAATGTGTCAGACAAGGCAAAAAGCTGCAAACCCAAGGTATGTACAAAATAATTCAATATTTGTGCAGGTATATGAAAAAGACAAGGAAAATCTATGTGTAAGTTATGCATAATACAGCATGTGTACAGTGGTTACCCTATACATTTGATAAAAGCATTTGTATCCTATGGTTATTTTTGACCATCAGTGAGCGCATGCTATAATTAGAAAATTGTGGTCGATTTGTAAATTCAGAAAGTTAAACATTTATAAAAGCTTAACTGGTTCAACTGTATGTACTGGGTCTGAAAAAATGAATATAATATCGGATAAAATTTTTGAAATGACTAAAAAAATTGTCCGTAATGTTCAAATGTATGTTTGTAATATAGACATTTATTTGTTATAGGATAAAAACATGTCAAATGAAACATGAGCTATAATGAATGGAAGATAAGTAGTTAAAAAGTTAATTGTGATGAAAGGTACACACTTTACACTGTGTTTGGGTTCTTTGATAGCAGGCGTATGCCTCTGGATTTCCCGAATAAATTTTAGAGTGATTAGACGGAACACCATGGGAAAATGACAGCTATCATTAAAATAGTACTACAATACTTGATACTTGAACGTGAGTTGAATGACTTATAAAACACATTGAAAACAAATATTGCTTCTGAAAAAGTGTCAGAATAGAGTCCATAATTGCCGGACTATAAACCACAATTTTTTATGAACCCTGCAGCCCACAAAGCTGTCTTTACAATTTATGTATTTCTCAATTTATAGAGATGAGATGCTGTCAGTGCAGAGTTTATGAACTTATTATTGTACCCTGCCAAGCTTTATTTTGCTTCAGGACGCAATGTCAAACTAGACAATATAGACAGTTAGTTATATATTGACTAACTGAAAGCTAACTATGAGTTTATTGTGTATTTCCCAGAATATTTTGTCCAAAACAAATCAACAGTGTGTTAAAAAATCTCGTCATTAAATCATGTTGTGACCATTTTAAAACAGTTGTCTTTAGTCTTATTGTTTAGTTTTACAATTCAACATGAAAACCTGCTGCCTACACATGGACAAAATTGGCTTTCTTAAAAAATGTTGGTACTGTAGGTGTGGTCTATGTACAGGTGCTCTCAACAGTCCAACAAGCACTGCATTTTTTTGTTCTTTCTTATAATGTGACCTAAATACACATCACACATAATCTTTATAGCTGTAGTAAAGTATTTTATCATACCAGTGTGTATATATATGTACATTCTGTTACACAAACGCTACAGGGATCTGGTCTGTCTGCTTGTGCTCAGTGTAGACCAGAGACTGTCTAGGAGTACGGCTCATTTTGAACCAGGATTTCGAGGGATTATTCATTTATATAATTATTTTGTGGCACTGCTGCTGTTGGGTTGTAGATTATCATTTTAGTTTATGAAAAAAAACTGATGTGGCTGGATGAAGAGGCTGGGATACTCCTGAGGAACACTATCTTGCATCTACATTGTCTGCTAAAAGTACACAATAGTAATGTTGTGTTTTCTCTTGCGCAGCGCTCCACCAGCTTTGGCAGATTTGACAAACATCATTCAACATCAAAATCAGAGGAACATGGACCAGATGGGGTTGGTGTGCTTTTTTGCTTTAACTGTGACAAGAGACTCACATATTTGAATTAAAGAAAAGTTTTAGATTTATTCCATATTCATCCTGAATCAATTTTTTCTGCATTAAATGGATAAGAAAAGAACAGTACATATCAAACAATGTAGGAGGTATAGCTTCAGGATTCATGTCACTTTACATTTGGACACTATCTTAATTGTGTTTTAAAGCTGGGGTACCAATATTCTATCCACAACAAATTGAACTATGCTTTAAAATCCATTTAAGTCGTTATTTACTGCCAAAATCTTTCGGTTCAACCACTAGTTTCCACATGCATGTTTTTTGGGGCTCTTTCTTGCAAAAATTAAGATTCTAATAAGATTTTTTCACATAATATTATTTTTACAAGAACCCTTTTCTATTGGGACAAATTTATGAAACAAAAAAGTTAGGTACCCCACCTTTAATATAATAAGTGTCAGTCTCTGCACTAGTTAATATCATTTTTGGGTCATTTGCACGTTTTTGCCTCAAATGTTTAAAGTAGAGCTGGAAAAGCCAAACTTCTAACCTGGAAAATCCACTTTGTTGCACAGGATGTTACACAACTCTGTTTCTGAAGACACTGTTGAAGAAATATGTGTTTATTAACATACAAACTAACATTTATCTATTTTCTCTTTGTAGGTGATAGAAGAGAGTGAAGTTTCCGACCAAAATAAATCTGCTGGAATTGGGAAGAAAATCAAAGGGATTTCTCTGACCATGCGGAAAAGAATGGGCAAAAAACACAACAAGTTGTTTTCTGAAGAGACAGTGAGTGTGATTCAATATTATCAAGTTTGTGAAGCCTCATTATCACAAATTTAGAGTGATCATCAATTCATTACTGTTTACTTTTAGGTTATTTCACAGCTAAGCCTTGTATTTGTTTCTGTTATTGATTTTAGTGGTCCCTTTATCTCTTAAGAAGTTTCAGGGCTCCACTTTTGGTCTGTTTCTTAGGGTGAAAGTGGTTAACATTGTTGCACCACATTTAACACAACTTCTACTGTAGAATACTCATCATTGACTCCTGGGTTAACCCTAAAGTTTCGCTGCACACCTCGATCGTAAATATAGACGTCACATTTACCTACAGAATATTAAGGAAACCAGACGTTCTCAAGAAGCTCTGTCACTTTCAGGATGTGTAGGTGGATTTATGATAAGAACTGCAAAAGGGGAAGTACACTCCTTTAACTTTTTTTTGCAGTGGTTTGCACATTTTGGATGATAAGAAACCAGCTAAGAGTGAGCTGCAGTCTACGGTCTAATCTTCCACAAAACAGAAAAAAAACTTGAAGACTGAGGAGATCTTATTTAACTACATAGAAATGGTATTGCATTTTTAGTACGACCAAATTGAGAATGGGATTGAATGGGCCGTAAATCCTGTCTGCTATATTTAAATTTAATGAAGAATAGAATCACAATGGTATCATTTTAAATCCAATCATAAGAATATAGTCTCGGTTCTATAATTTGATTTTTCTCCCCCAAAAAATGAAGGACACGCATGGTAAAGATTCTTTAAATATTGATTATTTAGTGATGGGGGAACTCACTTGGGGGCAGGGGTCCGTGCTAATAGTGGTTAGAGATGCACGTCCCTGAAATGCACAGCCCGTCACTGATGCCAGATGATATAAAAACTGCTGTCTCACTGGCCACATGTGCTGTAATAGTATATTAAGGTGGAACATTCTTTTTTAAACATAGCATTTATTTAATTTTGTTTCAGGGGGACGACACAGACCGGGAGGCTGAGGCCGACAGTGGAACTCCTGTTGAGAAGAACTCGAGTGCTCGCTCCCTGGAGAGCCTCCACAGCGCACAGAGCTGCTCAAGTCAGTGTAGAATACTATTACTCACATTGGGCACATGGTTTTATATAGCGCAATAATAGGATTTCATAAGTATTTTAAAAAGCAAAAAAAACAACTTGATAAAGCAATATGAACAAAACAATAACGCGATTAAAGCTGGGGTACCTAACTTTCAATATACTAGAGACTATATACTAGAAAAGAAAATCTACCTAATTCCTGGCTCTTGTTCTTGTGTTTGAACTGATTCTCTGATCTGTGTTGGCAAATCAACAGTTGTGTAAAGTCCTGAGATAACCACTGTTGTGATTTAGGGCTATACAAGAATAGATTGAATTTGATTTCATTCAATCTTAAAACAGCTCTATCACTAGTTTTAACACACATGTATTCCTTGGCCTCTGCTACAGCTTTTTCAGTCAAAAAGGCGAAAAAGAGAGGACCACCACAGATACATATGCTTTTTGATGAGATGAAGACAGCATGTTGTAGTCTGATCTTTCTGTTCGATGAAACAAAATGTATTATTTGCTTATTTAGGGAGAAAAAATGTAGGTTCCCCAGGTTTAAATGAAATGAAATGAAATGAGATTAAAACATACAGCATATTTCAAGATTGATCCAAAAGTATTGAAATGTCTTCGTATTGTAAAAGTGAATACATCATAAGAAGTTTGGCACTAACAACCACAAATTCTAAGGATAAGATAACAGCCCTACCAACTATCCACTCTTCTAACGTGACTTTCATGTGGCTTTCAGGTGGTGTGAGTGAGTCTCTGGCCGCAGCTCGGGTCAGTTTGAAGCTGGATGTGGACGGCTCTTATCGGGGGCAGTTCTGTGGAAGAGCTCGGGTTCACACAGACTTTGTTCCCAGTCCCTACGACACAGACTCTCTCAAGCTGAAGGTACACAGTGTAAAATCTGTTTTCAGCTTTTTAAAACCCCAACAGACAGATTTGTGTTCCTCTGAACACTTGAACTATGGCAGTCTTCAGAGATTGAGCCGTGTAAGAGCGAGTTCAGACCAGTTGGTTTGGTTCACTTTAACTGGACTAAGCCTTGTTCAATGGGAGACGGAAAGTGCTTCTCTAATCTGTTTAAAAAGATGTAGAGTGTGTTTATAGCAAATTTCATACAGAAAGCTGTGACTCACAAGGAACCGTGAAGTTATATAAATTGCAAAAAAGAAGTGAAAGGATAATGCCACTACCTAAAGGAAATAGTCTCCACAGCAATACGACCCAAGTTGATCTTTAGTTTTCTCTTGAATGAACTCAGTCTCTGTTCTCTGTTGTTGAGGAATCGACAATGTTGTACAGCTACCAAAAAATCATTCTCTTTCCAAGTGAACCAGAATTAGTCCAGATCAACAAATGTGAACGGACCCCTATGTCACAATACCACGCAATCACCGGCTGTGTTTGATGCCCAAAATATGTGAATACTAATGAGGTCGCTGTGAGGGAAGTAACAGAAAGAACAAGTTACATCTACTTCCTCCTTATTTGACAATCAATGACACATAACACATAGTCTCATTGTGGTAAATTAGGACTGTTGTAGTTTGATCTCTCTGAAGAAAGTCACCAGTTCTGAAATAAGTATCATCACAGACATATAGCCACTCAGCACCTACAAAAACAAATCTGACCAAATCCACCAAGATTAGAATGCTTGCATGAAAAGTGCATTTAAAGTAATTCACCAGGTCCCAAGATTATTTCGCTCTAGTCAGTCTGACCTAAAAGCACTTGTTTTATGTCATTGTTTTAGGCTGGCGACATCATAAACATCATCAGTAAACCTCCCATGGGCATCTGGACTGGCATTCTAAACAACAAAGTGGGCAACTTCAAATTCATCTATGTGGACGTCTTAGTGGAGAAAGAGGAAGAGAAGGAAGAGGAAGAAACCCCAGTGATCCGACAGCAGAAACTGTGCAAAAGGACACGACCTAAAACTCTGCTGGAGTTACTGGAACGACTCAGACTGGAGGTGAGGTCACTGACCACTTTGCACAAGGGAGAAACAAAACTTTATGGCTTCTTATTTGGAAGATTTGAAATACAGATGAAGAGAAGTTTTTTCTCTTTTTTCCTCTATTTTTCTATATCACATTAACTTCACTAAACCACTCAAAGTTTAATCTCATACAGAAAGTAGTTTCTTCTATTATTATTCTAATTTATGAATATAATTGAAAGGATTTTGCTTCATGATGAATATTTTTTACATAAAACAGGTAATGGTATCAGATCTCCTTGGGGCCTTACTCTCCTGAAAAAGAATCCAAAAGAAAAATACATAGTAACCCTAACCCTTACTGATATTCAATACAAATCAAGCAACCTTGGAATCTATCAGCCCTTCTTCTTTGAACCAAATTTGATTAACAGACTCAAAGATCTTAAGGCTTCGAAGGTTCTATCATTTCTTAAACATAAAGAAGACATAACACACTTATTACATTTATGAGTCAAAGAAAATAGCTGCAGATGTTTATATGTCAACTTAAAAGTTCACGATCTCTTTAAAAAAAGGTAAATGGTTGTTAATGTGTGGTGTTTATAGGAGTACGCCTCTGCCCTGCTGCTGAACGGATACCAGACTGTGGAGGACCTACGGCACCTCCAGGAGAAGCATCTGATCGAGCTCAACGTCAAAGACCCGGAGCACAGACTGAAGCTGCTGGCGGCGGCCGATCTGCACTACACCGAAGGTCAGACGCACTTCTGTTTCCAAACGCTAAGCATCTGTTTTGTTTGATAATGAACGTGAACATGGAAAGTAGCAACGTTACTGTGATGGATCCGGGACATCTGGGAGAAAAATCTAAATAGACAATAACAGTACTTTAGCCTCATTATTGCTCATTGCATTTTTTGTGTTCCATAATTTTAGCTGCGTCTAAATTCATTATTCATAGATAATAATTTCATTTGATCCCCCACTGTACTATTTGAGACATATTGTTAAAATAGGGGAAAAAGACCAGCTGGGAAATGTCTTGCACTAAATAACAGGCACATTTATGGTACGTCTTTTTGGGTTAGGGCTACATGTACGTTTAGGGTCTGGTTGTAGTTTTTCATTTTCATGTGATTGAGAAAAAAAATTGAGAAATGCTTATTGCCGCCAAAGTGAGTAAAAGCAGTAAAATCTTCACAAAGCAGTGGGCTTCACCTGAAAAACAATCAAAATGTAATATTAAAAAGTTTGTTTTTTAGGTCAAATTTAAAAAACTCAATTATTTCCCCAGTACTGCAGCATGAAAACAAGACAGGAAGTGTTGAGCTCTACCAACTCTATACCAACTATATATACTTCTGAGGAATCACATGCCCTGTTTTTTAGTTTCACAAACACACATGAAAAACTGTGGAACATTACTAATATGTTTGGACTGAACTAAAATGTGCTGAGAGGAGCTTTGCTATGACTCAAATAGAAAGTGCTTAAGAGACAGAAGTTGTTCTCATTGTTCATCTGAATTAGTCATTAGTTTGAAAGCTCTTGCTAACATATGGTCCAAATGAACTAATCCCTTACATTGCAACACAGAATATGAACACTTTTTTGACCTTGGTTACATTTTATTTCTAATATCTAATAGTAATATAGGAATAGTAATCTTTCAGAGTAAAATAGATACATGTTTTAGGTTACAAATACACGCTCATATAGCTCATATGGCTAGTCTATGTTTCAATAATCCTCATCCTAATTTGGCAGAGCTCTAAATAGGTCAGAAAATACCTTAATTGTTTGATTTTTGTTCCATTTCTGCTCGTATGTTTAGCCGTGGTTGTTCTGTCCAGTCTGTCTGACTCTGTCATGACAGATGGAGGCAGCAGCATGTTTTTTTAATCAGGCTCCGCAGACATTAGTTTAGTGGTTTGACAGCATGAGGATTAATGTTTCCTATTTGACAAATTAATGAAATATTCCCTTTTGCTGCATGTTTATTATGAGGTATATAAGAGTAGAATAATTCCCATTTAATAAATCATTGTTTTATTTTCATGTTTGTTTGTTTGTTTTCCTCTTGCATACTGCATAAGTCTGTGAGTCAGTATTTGACTCTTTGGGGCTGATTGGCTGAATGAGGGTGGTTCTATCTTTTTCTCTTTCCTGTCTGAAGAACATGATCTAAAGATGTGACAGAGGCCATGGATACATGTGTGTGAACACTAGAAACATACTGTTTTAGAGCTTGGAATTAGTGGCTTGCATTTTATTACAGAGTTCTATTGTTGTGGCTTGAAAATTAGGTACCCCAGCTTTAACTTTGATTTATTTTTCCTATCACAGATGATGTTGCGGACACTGAGGAGGAAAAGTCCAGCCATGGTCAGCAGGAGGAGGACAGTGATTGCCCCAGAGACTCCGGCTGCTTCATCCCATCTGAGTGCTCCGACTCCAAAGACGACACAGAGGCTCTTCCTGAGGCGGTCAGCTCATGAGGACTAGATTATGTTTACATGAAAACTAGATATATTTGATCCATCTATGACAACAATCACAGATAAACAAAAGTAGAAAGTAATAGGTCACAGTCTCTTCTCCAATGACCAAATATAGACTCAAGATTTGGCCTATCTACTGCGAAGGTTCCCTATCAGACTGTACATTATAATTCAATATTGAAACATTTATGGTATTTATCAATTATATATAATTCTGTTGAGCGTTTTGAATATTTATCACACCTTTGACATGCTCTCTTATCACTGATATATTTTGTATCTGAATTTCTTCCTTTTTACGTATATAAAGGCCTTTATCTTTATAAATATGTGGGTGTTATTTTTTTAAACTGTGAGCCAAATGTGTTTGTAACATGCTGTGTACATTTTATAATTCACCTACACAATAAAACAAGTAATACTTACAATAACTGGCTTAATTCCTTATGTTCAGTCAAAGGTTTAGTTTTTTTAATGAGTAGCAGCAATATTGGTACTGTGACAGCCTCTAATGGTACAAAAAGGAAAAGCTGAGTGTGGAAGGACTTTGAGGAATGGACTCAGAAGGTCTAATGCCATGGAAAATAGCCACATATCATCAGTCATGATTCAAATGCAAAACATGTATATCTGTTTTCTTGTCCTGGTAAGAAGGGCAGCTGTAAGATGGGCAATGAGTTTTGGTTTCTATAGGCTCGATTATCTAAGAGAGCGGAAAGGAAATCCTTGAATTACACATATCAATTGATGAATCGTTTGTTTATTATCTTAAGTATACGTCTTTGTTTTCAATTGTCTATTTAATTTCTTGTAATTTCTTCATTCGAGGCAGACGGCTCAGAGGGCCCTGCCAGGTGCTATGAGGACATGGTTTTTTTGTAGATATGTACATTTACTAAACTAATAAACCCACACTTTTATTGTGTTGCATATCTTAGTTGTTTGCATTCTTGTTTTTGTTTATAGTGTTACTCTGTGCAGAAAGTCCACGCCAAATAAAGAGTTAAAGCTGGGGTACCAATATTTATTATCAAACAAGGCTATGTGAGTGTCTTGCCAAAGGACACCATACCAGTTTTGCATCTACAGCTGGCCCACTGTGGCACCTGGTGTTCGGAGAGATCTCTCATCAGCGCAGTAACCAGACCCTGCCCTTTGAGTGAATTCGCCACTAGAGGGCAGCATTTCGTTGTGTCAGAAGAAGACCACGGTGCGGTGTTTTGTTGCTCATATGTTTATTGAAGTGTTTTTTATTGGCTCAAAATACTGACACGTCTTGTTGTGTTCATGTAGTTAAATCGGCAGAGCTGTCGCCGCATCCAAATTCATTGATCTGTAATCTACTTTCTTGTTCCATCTTTAAACTGATCTTGGTGACATTAAAATAAATTCAAGTGGCAATAAAATAGTGGTTAAAAGATCCAAAAATTCACGCTTCCTGAGAAGAATGGTTATTTCTAGTCCATATTTCTGTAGCGTGGCGGTTAGGTTTTCACTACATTACCCAGGATGCAGTAGAAGTATGTAACGCTGACGTGTAGTTTATTGCGGAACCGGAAAAGTCTCATGTTCTCCGGCTGTCAGGGCTGTCACGTCTCCGTACAAGAAATTGGAATATTATAGTTTTTGTTCATTTCTAGCTTCAGTCCTTTTGAGGGCGGATTGGTATGATGGCGGGTGAAATCTCGATGATCGGTAAGTGAACGATAGACGTCTCTTTCTGCACAATGTTGACGTGTTTCGCTGCGTGCTGCTTTACTCACCGCGGTTGGTTATCATTTATTTTTATTTTTTTATTTATACTTTATTAAGGACTCACATGCAAGCACAGGATCCATAGCTAAGAATAATGAAAGAGATATTATTATTTCATAATATTTGACCATTTTATAGTTTAGTTTAGTCTTATTTTTAAAGGGACTATGCAGATAGATATGAAAACATTATTTTTTCATTTTAATAGAGAATATTTGATCGATAACACAGCCCTGTGAGTCACGTTTTGGGCTGAAAGCTGATTGGCTGAGCAATAGTGGTCCTTTTACACTCCTGTCTATTTACTGTATGTATATTTGTTTCAAAGTATCACTAATCAATAGATTTCTTATTGAAAATACATTGCATGGTAATTGTAATAGTGCTGTGTTGGCAGTTGATTATGGGATTTTTAAACTCATTTCACCAAAACAAAGGTCAATAAGAACATGGCTGCTGGTTCATATATCTAAATTTCATTCAGCAGTTATTACAGCTCTGTCAGATATATACAATCTATTATAAGCCTCAGTCTGTATGGGTCAAAAAAACAATGACAACTATTTCAATAATTGATCATTACTATTTGGTCAGGAAAATCCCGCTGGGATCAAGTCAAATTAGTGAATTGTTCCAATCCTGCATCACTGGATGATTATTTTTTTATCCACAGGTTCTGTGATCCTGGCTCTGTTTCTGGCTGGATACTTGGGCCAGCAATATTTGCCACCTCCCAAACCCAAAGTGATCGGCATGGACCTGGGCACCACCTTCTGCTCTGTGGGAGTTTTTCACCCGGGCGGTGGAGAGGTGGAGGTGATTGCAGATGAAGAGGGCAGGAAAAGTGTTCCGAGCGCAGTCTCTTTCACAAACACTGCAGTGCTGTCAGGACATGAAGCCGTAGACCAGGCGCACGGCAGTCCACAAAACACAATTTATGATGCAAAGAGGTTCATTGGAAAAATCTTTGAGCCTGGAGTCCTGGAGAGGGAAAGTGTACGGTATCCATTTAAGGTAAGGCTGTGTTTTTATCCATGTACTCACTCCAGCCAATTATTCTTTCAAATTGGACCTATAGAGTTGCAATATTCAGGATTCAATGTTCTCTATGTATTCTGTCAAAAACTTTTTCAATTCATAAGCCAAGTCATGCAGAATCATAGATGACCTATTCATGATGATGAAATTTGTCCTCTGCATTTGACCCATCCTTCATTGCCGCTAGGGCCTCCGTCACGAGCAGTGGTCGCAACAGTGCACAGCTTGGGGGCCCATCTACAGATGTTGATGCTCGGGTGTGTCAGGGCCAGAACTGGAGGATTTTACCTACCTATTGTACATGTAAGTGGTTAGCACTCTCGCCTCAGGGCAAGAAAATCCTGGGTTCGAGTCCATCTCCAGACAGGGCCTTTCTGAGGGGAGTTTGGAGTTCTTCATAGTTTTCCTCTGGTTGCTCTGGTTTCCCATACTTCTACTAACATGTAGTACACTACAAACATGTAGTACACTACAAGCATGTGGTGGTAAAGCCCAGGACACTCCTGAAAGAGATTTTGAAATCTCAGCGGGGCTTTTTAAGGTAATATTAATAAATACTTATTAGGAAGGGGGTTTCTTATGTATTACATATTTAATCATGTTTTTCATCCCTTCAGATCATCAATAACAACGGCAGTGCTGAGTTTGAGATCTCCACAAACCACACTTTCACCGTGAGTCCGGAGTTCATCGGCTCTCGGCTCCTGCTGAAGATGAAGAAGATGGCGGAGCTTCACCTGGGGGTCCCCATCCACAAAGCAGTTATTTCAGTTCCTGCAGAGTTTGACGAACGCCAGAGGAATTTCACCATTAGAGCTGCGAACCTCGCCGGTCAGTGCTTTCTACTGCATTAGGTGTAAATGAAGGAATAGATGGTCAACCGTTTCCAGTAACATTTATAATTTTCCATTTTTGTCGCAGGTTTGGAGATTTTGCGAGTCATAAACGAGCCGACCGCAGCTGCCATGGCTTATGGGCTGCACAAGGTGGACGTGTTCAATGTTCTGGTGGTGGATTTGGGGGGAGGGACCCTGGATGTCTCTCTGCTCAACAAACAGGGGGGAATGTTCCTTACCAGAGCCATGGCGGGGAATAACAAACTGGGAGGGCAAGACTTCAGCCAACACCTGCTTCAGTTCATGACCGAGCGTGTCACACAGGAGTTCGGGGTCCCTCCTAAACTCAAAGAAGACATCCACCGCTTACGTCAGGCCGTTGAAGCTGCAAAACTCAACCTCACAGTGAAAAATACCACCCGTATCAATGTACCACTGCACCTACACTTAAGCGACGACTCAGAAGCGCCTAAAAATATCATATTCAACACCGAAATCACCCGCAAGCAGTTTGAAGAGCTCAACGAGGACCTTTTCCACAAAATACTCACTCCAATTGAGACCGTTTTAGCTGAAGGACATCTGGATAAAGGAGAAGTGGATGAGATTGTCCTCGTTGGCGGGTCGACCAGGATACCACGCATCAGAAAAATAATTACAGAGTTTTTCGGGAAGGAGCCCAATACGTCTGTAGACCCAGACTTGGCTGTGGTCATCGGTGTAGCCATTCAAGCTGGAATCATGGGAGGGTCTTGGCCTTTACAAGTGAGCGCTATTGAGATTCCAAATAGACACTTACGCAAAACAAACTTGAACTGATCACTGTTCACATTTACTTTTCAAGACATCCATCCTTTTGCACAGCATCACCGCAGCGTCGGAGTTTTGAATAAGGGGAATGTCAAAGGGCAACCATCACAAACCAACTACTTTAAGTGCCAGTAAATGTTTCTATTTATCTCATAATTTATTTTAACTGTGCGATTGTGTGAGTGAATGTGCCTGGTAAGTGAGCTGCCTTTTGACTGGTTTTGCCAACAAAGAAAATTTGAAATATGGAATAATCAAATTGCCAGAAAAAAGTTTATCTAAGAGGCATAACTGGAGGACTATTTGATTACTGGTCAGTTTCTTGTTCATATTAATTTATTTGGCATTTCAATATTATTACAGACCATAAAATACACAATTGTTTTAATTTATTTAGAAAGTTTGTCATTCATTTGAGAAGTTGAATTTGGTTGAATATTTAACTCATTTTGCATTTAACTTCCAGATGTCTTTTATCTGGTCAGTGCAGTGGGAATGAGTTGGACTATACTACTGATCTGTTTAAAATCTGAAGTAAAATAAGATTAGCCTTTGTCCCTCTGACTGCTCTGTTATTGTGCAATATTAATAATATATGTTGCTTCTTCTGTAATGGTACCAGTTAGGGCTGAACAATATGGACATTTCTTATCTGCGTTTATGCCAGAGATGTATCAAATTAGTTTTTGTCAATATTGATAATCTATATTGTTTATTTTTGTCAATATTAATATCCTGAACGTTCATATTGTTGATACAGTGACTATCTCAGCCCTAGTTCCAGTATCATTATAATCCCCGTTGACGCAGTGTTGTGACTTGTCAGAGACTGACGTGATGCACTTTGAGGACTTCTATACGTTGCACAGCTCAACTTCATTCCTCAAATTTATTCCGGCTTCTGCTGCAGCAACTTTGGTCGTCCTCCTGCAGGACCAAAAACTTATCGTGCCTTGTTTTTACAAATGTGTGAACAGCTGTTACATGTCCTTTAAGAGCCAAGACTGGTTTGTCAAATACAGAAACATGAAGAGTAGTGTATTTTTAATATTCCTGATATCCATTTGTTTTAATTTGTCAAGTGTTTCAAGCTCTAACTTTGAAACCACAAAAAATAAAAGTTCAAACTCTCTTCAAACCATTTAGTTTTCACATGTGTTTTTTGCCTTTTAATTAGCGTTTCCAATAAGACTTGTGATCTATTGTATTCCAATTTATTTATGAAACAAAATCAAGTATCTTGGCTTTAAAGTCATTTCTTTTGGCACAGTCAAACACCAAGATGAGGAGAGACAAGACTTCATATTATCAATGACACAGTTTATTATTACTGTCACTTTGTTCATTATTTAACAATAACACTCAACAGCACTGCAGCCAAGCTTAAAAATACATTCCCACCAAAATACATCAAACACGTTAAAAAACTCACATTCACATTAACCATGAAATACTATGACTCATCATTCTACCATTGTACAATCTCAGCTCACATGTAGACATGGTCATTACTGCTATTCATGCATTGATCATCAGTAATTATCTTACATTGACGATATATACCTGAAGAGGAAGGCAGGGCTTCTGTAAACAGCTTAGTTTAATTTTTAAATATTTATATATCTTAATAATAGTTGGTAATAACAGTAGTCGCATCGCAAGAACAGTTTATCTCATGCTGCAAAGAAATAAAGTGAGGATTCCCAAGGCAGTGCTTCAATAGAAAACATTATCAAGCAAGCATAAAATCAAGCATCAAGTAGAGACAAAATATTTGGTGACTTGGATCAATAAAAGTGCTAGTGTTTTCAGTTATGCACAGACAAATTGTGATACATATTGTACAGCAGCTTCAGTGTCCCGTCATTGGCCGATCCCCTGGTTGTAGTAGCAGTTGTAGCTATTGGTGTACAGCTCCTCAGCACTGGTCACACCATTCTCCACCTCTAGAGGGCGACAAAAGCACAAGCAATAAATAGAGGGACATTTCAACATTTTAGAGCAATATGAATTCAATCTAGTCAAAAAAAAATTGAAATTCCTTATTGTCATTCTGTTGAACATGATGGAGTCTTAGTCGACAAATGTTTTTTTTTCAATTTAAAGATTGTAAAGGATTATTATGGATCACAGCAGAGATGAAGATGCAGAAATGTAGAGAATGAGCTGAGGTTTCAGAAGTGATCGTCTTCTGAAGTCTTTTAGAAGCCAAAAAAAATACAAATGTGTGTAAATATAAATATAAAAAACAGGATATTTTGTAGTTTTCCAATTGGAACAATCCAAAAATGCAAACTGATGGTTTCATTCATGACACCAATTTTACTGCTGGTTATGAATTGACAAGGAGGTAGTTATTTAAATCCATCTTCTGCAGCCTAAGGGTGGGTATCTTTCAGAGTCGACAAAGGACACGCCAATGTGGGTGGATGACACAGATTTGTAGCTTCGCTTTCATCAATCTGCCCAAGGGCAGCTGTGGATTGCAGTATATGGAATATAATGCCTGTAAGGGTCTTTGGGCATCATAAAAAAGCATTATTATATGTGTCCTGTGTGCTTCCAACATTCCAACTGAAACAAATAAAGGTTCTCTCTGATCTTCTACCCCTGTCCTTCGAACACTTATTATTGTACGTTACCTTACTCCCACCTAACAGAGATCCACTGGGGTTAGCTTAATCCCCCTCTACACTGGAAGACGTCTGCAGCAGAACAAATGCAGGGAGGTGGAGACAGGGGCGGATGGGGCACAGAGTGTTTTAGGAGGCGGAGGTGGTGGAGATGGTGGAGAAGGAGGTGAAAGAGGCGATGCTGGTGGAGATGAGGAGGAGAGGAGGCACACAGCTACAACACGGCATGACCTTCAAACACAGGAAACAGGAAGTGGACACGGAAGCACACAGAGATTCATGCTCAGACCATGGATGAGTTAGAAGGACAAACACAGGCAGTGCACTAGTGGTTCTCAGAATGCTCAAAGAATGTGTTTTTGGTCAATAAAGCCACACTAGATAATTTGTGCTCATCATACATAATCCATACAAAAAGTTTAATATCAGAACGACATAATAGTTTCCATTCATGACACAAAATTGAATAAAGACTGAACTAACTAGTGTCAAACTTTTGATAATAGACTAAATACAAATTTCGACAATTATTTATAAAACCTTTTGGACTATAGGTTATTTTTCAACAAATAATATAGTACATTTTAAACTTGTGGCCCCATAATAAAGAATCAGCAAAGTTTCTAGAAATGTCAAGATTTATGTTGTTTATGTAATTTCTAGTATGTATAGTTGCTCTATAGGGTAAAGTTTTGATACTAGTTTAGTACTTTTGACAACCGTAACTTCAACTATATATTTGGGACTAGAATGGGATTACAATGGCACCGTATCAGATTGACCTCAAACAAATATCAAGACAAACAGTCATTCTGGTGCTGAACTAAGATAGTACCGAATGAAAGATGAAGATTGAATTGTCTTAACCATGCATTCTTTACATCCACCTCCCAATTACAACAAAGCTGATGCAAAATGAACGGTCTTGCATTTGAGAACCGCTGGTGTAGAAGAGAAAATGATGAGCAAATGTTCAGAGAGAGTGAACCACATTCCTACAGCGTCTCACCAGAGAAGATGAGTTTTTCCTTCATCACGTTGACGTCGCGGCTGGCCCTCCTCACGGCAGCGCTCAGCATGATCTGCTCTGGGTTATAGCTGTGCATCCCACTGGAGCGATACCTGCGGCAGCGAAAAGACCGCGTCAGACATGGGCCAGGCCTTTAGAACAAAACCGCAGTGTTGCAATAAGATTTTTATCAGTGAGAAGGGGGTGAGGCTCGTCATTCATTCCATGGCATTGCAAACTGGTTCCTACAAACATAACCATAAAGTATCAGATGTGCAAATACCTCATCATACCGGCCCCGTGAAAAGATTAATGTTAAAGCTGGGGTACAAAACATTCAAACAACAAAAAAGCAGGTAAAATAATTCTTAACTTTCACTACACATGAATGTATTTTCAGTCTCTGTTACATCTTTCAATCCTATTTCTTACCAGTATGTGAAAGAAAACATATACTAATAGGATAAAGAAAGTGTGTTGTGGTATGATTTGTTCAAAATATTAAAATTTTGCAAGACTCTCTTTGGGGACAAACCGCACAGTTACCCAGCTTTTAATTCTGAAAGTTTGGATCAGTGGCTTGAGAACTGCTAATGCTGTTGCTATTAGCCATAATTATGCCGCATCACTAAATTGTGCAATACTCTAACACAATACAGAGTCAACATTTAATTTGAATCTTCTCTACTCATGAAATAGACCATGTGTAGACTGAATTTAATTATCTCAGTGTGTGTGCGTGGAAAACTGTATGAACTAATGGAAGCGCACCAACTCATACACAAATACCATCAATTCAAACAACATTGACTGGTTGAAAACAAATACATAATGAAATGATCAGAAAAATGAAAGAAACATTGAGGAATTGAACAAATGAAATGCAGAGGTTACACATGTTTAGACAGTACATTTTATACAAACATTTTGAAATGTATTATGGATGAATGGATCTATGCTACAGTGGTACTTCATGTTAGGGGATATTAAGACCAAAAGAGGGAAAGGGGGGAAATGCAACACACGACAAAAGATGAATGATGAAATAGGGATTTGTAAGTGTGGGACCAGTTACCTGATTATGTGATAGCTGCGAGAAGAGGCCAGAGTGCAGCAGAGAGGCACATGCACATCACGCAGAAAAAGACAAAAGCAGGAAAAAAACAGCAGGAGACAAGAGACAGTCAGTTCAGACGCAGCAGCAAAAGTTAAAAGGGACAGCAACACTTTACACACTTCTGTATAAAGTTTGTCATACATTTAAATAATGCATTGAAAGCCATTGTAAAACAGGGACTCAACAGGCATAGCATCTTTCTTGTTATCTGTAGTGAAAGCTTAAATTAATCAAAGAGGAACACAGTCTATGCAAGATGTGTTCAAGGGAATAGGAAGGTAATATTAGCATTGTAAAGGTTCTAGATATGAGGTTAGGACTTGGAATCAATATCTGGTCAAATTAGCTCGGTAATAGTCACAGAAAAAACCTAGTTACAAAAACAAATTTCAACATCCTTTCAGCTGGAATATTCAATTATTAATTTGTTGCTTATTTGGATGGACAGTGTGTGAACAGCAGGGCAGTAAATGTTCCAGATAGCAGCCGTGAGATAATTTTCATCTGTAATCCCACAGTCGCACTCACAAACACTCACTCATTCAACCTGAACAATTGTCCTTATTTATTCTTAGTGGTCGTGAAAACAGGAGCATCCGAAGGAAACCTACACAGACACAGGGATAATATGCAAACTCCACACAGAAAGGCTTCGTCTTGAGGTGGAATCGGATCCAGGACCTTCTTGTTGTGAAGCATGAGTGCAAACCACTGCGCCACTGTGCTGCCCAAGTAAAAATGTCTTTGCTGTAATATTTGGTATCAATACAAGAGACAACCTCCGTCTGTCACCCGAGCGCCTTTCCAAAAAAAGCCTAATTTTAGAAAAATCAAATTAACAATTGATAACATTTTCCCCATTTTTAAATACTCTTGGATGGAAACAATTGTATTCATTGAGGTATATTCTTTGGGGTGAATGTGAATATAAAAGTCTAGTCATAAAGAAGGCAGTATAGTGCACATACTTCTGGAATATGAAGATGGCGATGACTACAGCAAAAGAGACCAGGTCCACGGACACCCACAGCACACAGTATTCATCAGGTTTCTGCAAATTCAAACTGACGTCAGAAAGTCTTTGTCCACTAGAGGGTGAAAGACACTCAAAAATAAAGATGCAACATTGTCACGCTGAGATATACTTCTGAGAATACTGTTATTGGGTTTCAAAGAGACAGTGTTCATACAAAGGCCACTCACCATGAGCCAAATGGGGTAAGGCAAGTTCCTGAGGATGTGTGGCGCTTCAGAGGAGACAGAGGGGACCCCGCTGCACCAGAGCACAGAGTACAGCCAGGGGTCGTTCACGGTGAACAGAGTCAGTCTGATGTGGTTCTCAGAATACTCTCTGCAAACACCAAACACACACACATCGCTCATATACAATATCACATGCACCATTTCGTGTCAGGAATCTATCTTGTTGGCGAGAAATTTTAACAATGTCCAAAAAACAGTGAAGGTGATGTTTCTTGATAGGAACTATGCTGCAGTACATACTCTGCAAACATTAAAAACTATATATTTTAAAATAATATTTTTTCAGAGCAACAAAATGATTAACAACGGAATTACTTAAAAAACTACCCACTCAAGTTTTCAAATTTCCAAACCTATTTTTCTTTGATAATAATGTACGAACCTTAATCAGAGACTTGTGTTTGTGCTTTGAACCTTAGTGTTACAAACTGAATGAAAGGGAATTTGTAAAAAATAATACATACTCTGAATTCGGGGACAGAAGGCACGTGATTGGTCAGTTGTCCCGGTCTTTGTCCATTCATTTGTAAGCTCAAAGTGGTGAGTGTGACACAAACAGTTACAGAGGACTTTTCAATGTATGTGAATGGAGCTAAAGTTGGAGCAAAACTTTGCGCTTGAGCACTTCCCTATTAGGCTGCATTGAGCTTGTGGATTAACCTTGGACATTTATTTACAGTCTATGACCATTACCTGATCTCCTGTGTGGAGGCCTGGTTGTACCGCACTAGCATAGCACTGACGCCATCTCGCAGAAGTGACTCGTGACTCTCCGGTTTGACCAACGAGGACTGGATCAGGCCGGGCGCCATTTTCCTCACCTCCGCTCTGTCCTCTTCAGGAGTCCAAAACACCTGAGTATAAGAGACAGGAATGATCACTTAAAAATATGTAAGAATAATACAAGGTAAGTAGAACTGCACCTATAATTCTGATCTACATGAAACAAATGGAACAATTCCAAATCAATGGTGAGGAAATTAATTGTATAGAAGTGTGTGAAATGGTGGCGAGAGTGCTATCCACTCAGCACGGTGGCTGAGTGGATAGCACTCTCGCCTCTCAGCAAGAAGGTCCTGGGTTCGAATCCCGGTCGGACCAGGGCCTTTCTGAGTGGAGTTTGCATGTTCTCCCCGTGTCTGCGTAGGTTTCCTCCGGGTACTCCGGTTTCCCCTACCACTAAAAATATGTACAATAGTTCTGGCATGTGCCTCCTGTACTGGCGACCCCGCTCCCATCTCTGTGTGGAGTGAGAGACAAATGCCACAAAATTAACAATTGTAAACCGCTTTGAGACTCAGATCTGCAGTGAAAAGGCGGTATATAAATAAAGATTACTACTACTACTACTTACCATGTAATTCCCCATAAAATAATGCATAAAAACAGATACAATTTCAAGTTAAAAGTGTCTCAGAGCTAACCATTTTTGGTTATTTGTTTGGGTTAAATTGTTCCATTTTGGCAATATCACTACTTCTATTTTTTGTCTTTCTTACCAATATTTTTAATATTTTGATATCTGTATTATGTTAAAGTGGACATAGGACATTTTTACTAAAGAGGATTCCAACTGCTAAACTAATGTGGGAATGCCAGAGAACCTATATTAATGCACAAGTCTGCACTAGCTTTTCCACGGTAACCCCTTAACAACCCTCTTCTCACCAGACTTTGCTGAATGCCTGATTTGAGCACAGTTCGCAGCGTTTCGTTGATCCAGCTGTCGTGGCTGGGGTGCTCGGGGGGTGGTCTCCTCAGTTTGAAAACCACTGTGCAGTTGTTGAATGAGGCCAGTGTGAGGAGCTGCTCCAGACTGCACACGCTCTGGTTCCCGATCAGCTGCTTCTCGTGAGCGGAGAGGGACCGAGCCGTGCCGAACGGGTCGTCCTGGGAGAGACGGGACAGGAGTACGAGTGTGACCACAAGGAAAAGCACAGAGCCCTTTTTATACTTTAAGATTATAATGATTAGGAGTCATGGCAAGTTTTTTATTTACTTTTAACCTGAGAAAGAGATTTGTTGAAGAAACATTATGTGAAGTTTCTTTGTAAAACTGAAAAAAATCCCAGTGAGTTAATATTTTACACATTAGACTGTGTTGCTGGGCAAAAATATATTTTTACACGCAATAATAGTCCACAATAGCAGTACTTTTTAATGGAACTGTACAGAATTTCTAGAATTCTTAAACAGATCACAATATTTCCAAATTTTTACCTTTTGAGAGTTATTTTTATTCAATGTTTTAGTTTTGTTTGAGGGAGTTCATTATAAAGAGTCTATCACTGAGCTTCTCTCAGTATTATTAAGAAAGATACAATAAAATACACATTATATTACTGTATATATTTATCCCCACTGCTGTCACACTATACAATAAGTCACATTAAGTCACTTGCCTTAGGACTAAAAAAACCTGCACTACTATTGCCACTGTTTCTTTAATTGCCACTTTTTTATTGTACACACTTCTGTCTTTGCACAAATCTTGAGTGATTCTATCCATGCCAAATGTGACATGTAAATTTCTCTTTAAAGTCTTATCTTATAAAACAAATAAAAATCTTTGTTATAATCCTATTTGGACCCATCTCCAGTTGTTGATGGTCTAGACTCTAGACAAATGGCCCCTAAAAATAAGTGTGATTTCTTTATTGTCTGCTATAAACTTGGAGCAGTAAATCAAAGGCAATGGAGGAAGAGCCGTAATCCTGATGGGAACGTAAAGTGACGCAACAGAACAGTCATGAGGCCTTGTCCTTTGCATGAACATGTTTTAACATTCGTCAAACCTCTTCTCTTCTATTACAGTGAGTGGAGGAAAAACAACACACTTTGATACATTAAAGTAGATTTTATTTTCAACAACTTCTGCGAAGGTTGAATTAATCATCATTCTGTATTTGTTTGAAAAGTGTTTTGACATTTAGTAAACAAAACTATGTAACAAAGCCATTTCATTATGTAAGAATATAGAAATTTTAGTAGGTTCTTTAGGAAGTTTATATTTTTCCTTTTTGATACAACTAACGGTTTCCTCATGATCCTTTCATAATGGTTTTATGCCCAGTTAATGCCATGGAATCTCACACATTAATATGAGATAATATCACTTGTATCATTTTATAACCAAGATATTACATTTACTAAAACTCTATAATATGCTAAAGCTGGATTGTATGTAAGGTTTGGTTTGTATGTAAAATGTATGCAAAACATCAGAAACAGAAACTTCCTCAAACAAAAAATGCTATGTGTTCTAACCAAGTATTTACTGTACTTCGCAAATCAAAACATGCACAATTTTAACAAGGACTTAAAGAAACTAAGCATTCACACGTGTTAGACTAGTTCTGGTTCTGGTTCTGGATATACAACCATCAAACTGGTGAACATGTGTCCACTCATCACTCAAGTCTGTCACATCTTCAGAAGCAGATCTGAACCAGACTTGGCCCAGTTCAAGTGAACCAGACCAACAACGTTCCTTTACCTTGAGAAACCAGTGTCCGGCGTTGAGTTTCCGCAGGTCGGTCCAGTTGAAGGAGGAGGCGTGGTCCCACTGTCGCTGTGGAAACACCTTCTGAACGTCTGTGGTGCGGCGTAGCGTGCTGTCGTGCATCAGGAAAGGCACTCCGTCCAAACTGTGCACGAAACACACTCGTCACAGGACTTTCCTCTTTACTACCTCATCCTACACATTAGACAGACTACCCCCAGCAAATGAATACAACTGTATCACTTCAGTTATTGGTAATCGGAAATATCTTCAATACCTTGATGCAATACAAGCCTTAATAATATAGACAAGGCTTAACACTAGGGATAGGGTATCGGATATAGACTTAGACAGACTTTATTGATCCACAAGGGAAATTGCGTTGTCACAGTTGCTTGCTTGCATAGTGTTTCACAATAGAAAATATAAAAAAATAACGTTAAAGTAACAATCTAAGAATAAGAATAATAAGATAATATTTGTGAGAATAATAATTATAATAAAAAGATAATTCCCAGAAGAGAATGGAAAATGTGTTAGATCGGGTATCGATAATTTGTTGAGCTAATATCCTGATTTGTTCAATAAAACCGATTTTGTGGCTGATAACCCAGGCAGTTGTTTAGGTGTTAGTGCAAGATAAATTACTTTTACTTGTACAAAGTTATTCTGTGGTTAAATACAGGATGAATAACACAAAAACACAATGGGACCCACTGTGTAGGCTTAAAAAATGTTGGTATTGAAAGCCAAAAAAACATTAAAAAATTGATCGATGTATTCAAAGCCACATTAATCAAAATACATACAATACAAAACACATATCAATATTATTTTTCTTTTACCCCTTTCCAATTCAATATTATACCAAGCATCTAGATCCAATGATTTGCATGAATCCACAAGTAATTGCGTTGTGGTTTTACCATTGAAAGTACTGTCCAATCTGGTTTGCATGGAAACCACATTATCATAAAGTTGTGAGTAAGTAGGGCACGACTCTATTAGCAAGTCCATATTGTGAGTCAGCTCAGTGCAATGTCAGAGTGGAGGCTCCCAGTCTCTGCAGCTGTCATCAGGTCTAATTAGGCAGAATTCACCTGTCAGCAGCTCCCACCAATAACACAGCACTCCAAGACAAAGACACACACACACAAGGCCGCCACTAAAGCAGCTCAGACGCAAGCAGCAAATAGCATCAACAAACTTCAGAAAGCATGGATCAGACAACGAGCTGCCAACAGAGTGAGATTTCATAACACTTTTAAGCAACTTTTGTTAAAGTTAAACTCATCATTCTCTGACCTGTGTTGGTGATTTCAATGGTTTTGTTAAGTCCTCTGAGATATTGTATTGTATCATTCTACCAATGTGCAGAAGCCTGTACTTTTCCACTTCATGTTTTGACCATCTCTGCTGGCACTGTGGCAGCTGCTGATTGGAGGTCTCCATGCCTTCGCTATGTATAATACACTTGCATTCTGTTGTTCGTGTTGTTCGTGCTGTCTCTCCCATCGACAATAAAACATGTCTTCTGTCTGAATTTAAGACACGATCCCAGACTTTGTCATCTTCTTCAAGAGCATTAAACACACACAATGGAATAGAACTGCATACACATGGTCCATAATATAAAAGTCACACCAGACTTTTCAATTTAACAACAAATATGATCATTTTTGAGTTTATCTCATGGTTTCCTAAGTTTGCAAACAGAACATGTTAGTTAGACCACAAGTAAGAACAGGTTAACTCATCATCTGAGATTCATTAATACACAGGAGAAATAGCACAAAATGGAGTAAAACACATTCAACCCTATGGCCCTAACTGAACATGCAGCGTCTTGTTTGTAAAATAAGACTCTACCCATTTTTATGCTATTGCTCAGATCCCATATTTCTTTTGAAGAAAAAGATACCCTTATATTAAAATGGTAATTTAATATATTAATTAGAGCCGATCTACAGTACAGGTGAAACTCGGAAAATGTTAATAATATAGTTAAAAAGTCCTTGTACTTCTGTGATTTAACATACAATGTGAAACTCATACATACAGTAGCAGACTCATCAAGCTTTTCTTACAAGAGACTCAGAGCTTGTAAAAACCCAAATACAACAGCTTGTAATTTTTTTTGAATTATTAAAAATCATCAAAATTGCTATATATCATGTTGCATGGTATGAGTTTATATTGTATGGTTTCACTTTCTAAACGGAATTACAGAAATAGACAATATTCTAATTTTCCAAGATTCACTTCAGATATATCAACAATAACTGAAACAATAACAGGAAAAACGGAGTCTGTGTCCGTCATAATGGCCCGAGTCTGCTCTCCAGGACTATAGCAGCGTCACAGCGACAGAACACGCATGAGTGACTCCGTCCTATCTCCACGAGCGTCCTCCACCACTTGCTCTTTGTTCAAGTGTCTGAGCTCAGCCTGTCGTCTCGTATTATTGTTGCTCATGTCTCAATGCACTGTTTATGCACCACTCACAGACAACGCACAATAAAGATGCTTTATCATGGAGAAATAAACAAAACAAAACCAACTTTTGGAGTTGATTTTGAGTCAGAATTTAAATCATGGCTTTTTGAAATGATTGTGAATACATAGACAGATTGCACATTAGATTAGACTCCAGTCTATAATTAAGGTAGAAAATATAAATAAATCAGAAAAGAATGATCAGTGACGCCGTCTTCCTATTGTCATGGGTTATCAGCATGGGCCTTTCAGAATGAGGGGGAGGTTTTGTGAGCTTGTGGTTTTGAGCCCAGTAAATGAAATGTGTTTTTTGTTTTGTATTTAACCTTTATTTGACCAGGAAAGTACCATTGAGATTAAGAACCTATAGTTACACACAGTTACAGATTATAAAAGCATTTACATGTCAATGAGGATGTCTCAAATGCTCTCAATCTGGATTTAAAAGCATTCAATGAAATAAATTCAGTTCATTTCCAGTGTTTTTGCAACTTAGACTTTCTTAGATTTAAACTGTATTGATGGATTTGGGAAACAATTTGGACTTAGTAATTTTATCCAGTATTGTTTTGTTACTGCCCTTTATTGGAGCAATTAGATACATTCAAACCATCTCGACCCATTACGTCCTCCATATTTGTCTGCTGGATAGTTTAGCCATAATATTGAGCACTAAAGCCCCACATGGAATAACTTGCCTGAGGGAAGTTGATCTTTCGTGACACACCAAGCACTCTAAATGTCCGTGCGATTACATATTCACATCCCAACTATGTGTACTACATGTATGGAGTAGACAGCGAAGAGACGTAGTAATTTTCTAGTCCATATGAAGTTTTAATTAAGTACCAACATTGGCTTGAAAGAAATGGACTGTGTAAGTTGACTTATTACTTCATGTAGGATTTTAAGCAGAAATCATGTTTGGACTTAGATTCAATGCAATCCGTCTCTTTTACATATAAATCTAAGTATTTTTTTGCATGATCTACAGTACTGCCATAAAGCTCAAGTTCACGTTAGGTCAAATACAAAAAATGGTCACATAATATCTCTTTGACAGTTTTTGCCAAACAACTAATCAATCGTTACAGTGTGTCTATGTCAATGTCTATGTGCAGGAAGCAGAGGGTGGATTTGAACAGTGAGGTCACAGCTCTGATACTGTTTGACTTTCACCGTATCGATCTCTCCTTGTCTATGTGTCAGGATGCGTGAGTATGTGTGGTTTGTTCAAATACCTAATAGATACATCAGTCTCCAGTCCAGTGACGTTCATCTGCAGCGCTCTCTGGAAAGACCACATCGTGTTCTCTGGAGCGAGCTGGGAACACACACTTTGGTTGTTTGGTTGAGCAATACACATTTCAGAAAATATATATTACTTGATTAAATAAAACAGTCACAGAGCATCGACAGGACAGGCCATAGAAATATCTAAGTAAGACAAAACTGGGACACCTTTTCTGTTTCTCCAAAGTGTCCATTATAATTTTGTTATTGGGATTCCTCACCAAAAAAAAATCCATGTTTATTTTCACAAAAATTCAGTAAGGCAAGGCAATTTATTTTGTATAGCACAATTCATACACAAGGCAATTCAAAGTGCTGAACAAAATAAGAAAGCATTAAAATCATAAATAATCACAAAAGAAAGCTAAAAGTATAAAATCCCTCAGTTGTATGCACAGCTAAACAGAACTGTCTTTAACCTGGTTTTAAACATTGTCAGAGAGGAGGCCTGTCTCACATATTCAGGAAGACTGTTCCAGATTTTAGCAGCATGAATCTGAAAAGCAGCCTCCCCATGTTTAGTTCTGACTCTGGGCACTAACAGGAGTCCAGTCCCTGTGCTCCTCAGAGTCCGGGCTGGTTCATATGGGACTAACATGTCACTAATATATTTTGGTGCGAGGCTATGGAGAGACTTGTACACAAGCAGAGCTGTTTTAAAGTCTATTCTCTGAGCCACAGGAAGCCAGTGCAGAGACCTGAGAACTGGACTAATGTGGTCGTACTTCCTGGTTCTAGTCAGGACTCGAGCTGCTGCATTTTGAATGTACTGCAGCTGTTTTACAGCCTGTTTGGACAGACCTGTGAGCAGGCCATTGCAGTAGTCTAACCTACTGGAGACAAATGCATGGATAAGAATCTCCAAGTCTGCTTTAGACACTATGTTTTTGATCCTGGCAATGTTTTTTAGATGGTAAAAAGCTGCTGATGTTACTGATTCTAATAAAGTTTAAGTCTGAGTCCAGTATTACCCCTAGATTTCTGACCTTGTTTGTAGGTTTTAGGGAGAGAGACTGGAGGTGACAGATGACGCTCTCTCTTTGTTTCTGGGGACCAAAGACAATCATTTAAGTTTTGTCTGTGTTTAGCTGAAGGAAGTTGTTTTGCATCCACTCACTGATCTGTTTTTTTGTATCAAATATTGCTTGATGGAGATGCCCATTTAGCTCTCAGTCGTTTTCCACTGAAAATGCCGACAGAATCCATATATTAAGAGTGAACCAAAGCCTAAACCAAAGTAATATTTTGTCATAACATTGTGGAATACTTTGAAATAAAAACCTAGGCCTGGTGTTCTTTACCATAGCTGATCAGCCCTAAACAAACTGACAATCTATTCTAATTAAAACTACATATAATTTTGACCTCCAGCACTGGGAGATAGACTGGCACTTCACAGCTCCATTCAATTACAGTTAAATCTATTCAAGATATGAGTCTATTCCACAATATAACACCAGGAAGAAAGACCCTTTTCTAATCTCCGCCCGCTTTTAAAGAGAAGTATAGAATTAATTGAAATAACTGCTTTTGAAGGAATGCTTGATTAGGACTCGAAACCAATGTGAAATCTACAAATGATAAAAATTATTAATGAAAGCTCAAAAGCAAACCTAAGAATTCCTGGCTTTCATAAAAATACAGAAATCAAACGCTCATAATGGCATCATAAATGTGAAGCCAAGGTCGCCTGCTAAGTTCCAGAGCGCGTAAGGCCGAAGGTTAAAACACGGTGAAGGGATAATGCTTAAATCGATACCGTCCTTATGGGAAACCAAGTGCAGTGTGTGTAACCCAGTGGGAGACGGTCACAGCCTGCAGAGCCACGCCTAAATTTAGACCACGGCTGATTTATTACACAAATACCAGGGAACGGAGCAGGGAGCGTAACCGCCATATGAGTAATGCTTATGAATAAAATATTACATTTGAAACGCTTGGTTTTAAAGGGGAAGATGTTCAGGTGTCAGCCGTGAAAGTGGATCGAAGAGAACGTATAGTAGAACAAAATATGTGTTATGTAAGAAAGCAATGTACAGGTTTAGAGAGGTGAAAAATGCTGATTTTGTGTTGATTATTTAAACTAGTTTCAATAATGATCTTGATGTGGTTTTTCTTTAGTGTACCTCACTCACGAGACCAGGTATTCAGACGATAATGAAGCTCTTCGCGAAAGTTCACTGTGGTAGACCCGGCCACTGCTGCCAGATCTACAAGCCTGCTCATCCTCTACTCATTACACCAGCAAAACGCCCACATCTAATCCACCAATAACCACCAGGACAGCAAGTTAAAAGCCGGAGACGCCCACTTCCCGGCCTTCTGAAGTTTGCAAACTTCTGAAGCCTGCAAGGTGCATGTCGCTAACGCACCTGTTCGCAAATGCATGCGTTGTTCTGGAGGGGTCGCTTCTGCTCAAGTGTTGCTCGTGCGCGTGGCCCTGCTGTCCTCAGTCTGGCTGCTCGTGGTCTGCTCCTCCTTCGCGTCCCTGCACTTGCTGTGGTTCGCGTGTTTTCACTGCTCTCCTCCTCTGCGGGCTCTTCTGCGGGCTGCTCCGCGGGGCCCTCCGCGGGTTCTGCTGCTCGTTCCTCGTGGTCTGCTGCCGCGCGCAGACGGTCTGGCGGTGCCGTGCGTGTCCCTGCCTCCGATTGGCGGTGCTGCGTTGTCCCGTTGCTTTCCCAAGTCTCCTGGCATGTGAGTACAGTGAGTGTGCCGACCGCGGACAGATTAATCCCGGAGTCTAGGCTGCAGGCGTCAGTTTTCGCCCCGTGCTTGGTCTGCAGGCTCCGTTTTACACGTGTTTGAGCTAACTGAGGGACAATGCATCTTAAATGGCATCAATCTCCAATGTCTGAGGGATATAAGAGGAGCAGTGTGCATCAATTCAGATTCATGTTCTGCCACTTGCAGTAAAACCACGTTGGAAAAAAATGTGCAAAGACTACCCCATCGTGCTCCAGACGGCACACACAGAGCTCTTGCCACGGCGCCATCTTTACAGCATTAATCTCATTACTCGCAGGTCACTATTGTTAAATGAATGTATTTAAATTCGTCTATCTGCAGGAGGAAGGAGGGGCCATGCATTTAAATAGCTAGGTCACTAGTATTAAATTGGGTAACTAAACTGCAGTTGTTGCATTTTGAAAGTGCAGCAGAAAGAAAAGGGGCCCAATGTGAATCTGCAACGGGTTTGAAGTGGAGTTGGAGCTAATGAACGTGTGGAAAAGTGATGGTTCATGCGTTCTACCATAACCAAAGCAGCAGATGGCTCCAGGGGACATCTGTTATTCGCATGGGAATGTTTCGGATTCGGGTTGATTTATTTCCTCAGGCTCTTAAACAACCGTGGGCATAGTTCTCTGACCGCCGCTGCTGCGGTCCCTGCTGCCGTTCCTACTGATGCCTGTTCCCGCTGCTGCCTGTTCCCTCTGCTGCCTGTTCCTGCTGCCGCTCCTGCTGCTGCCTGTCCCTGCTGCCTGCTCCTGCTGCTCCTACTACTACATATGCCGCTGCTGCTGTTCCTGCCGCTGCCGCTCCGCGGGCTCCCGGGCGGCACCTGTCTCTACGGCTCGGCTCTTTCAGACACGTATGTAACCTGGCTCACGGAGACAAGCGGCGCACGCTGGCGTGACATGTCTGTTGTTCGTATGAATCGCATTGTGCTGCTGCTGCTAATGCTGCTTCTGCTGCTTCATACTGCTACCGCTACTGCTGCTACTGCTGCCGCTAATGCTGCTATTGCTGCCGCTGCTGCTTCATACTGCTACCGCTGCTGTGCTGCTGCTGCTTCTTTACTTTGACATCTCTCTTCACTTCGCATCTCTTTTACTGAAACACTAAACAGCTTCAACAATATTCTACTGCGGTGGCTTTGATACAGGATTATTGCTGTTATTATCTACGGATGCTGCAACCGCTGCTGCTGCTGCTGCTTCATACTGCTACTGCTGCTCCTGCTAATGCTGCTTCTGCTGCTTCATACTGCTACCGTTACTGCTGCTGCTACTGCTGCCGCTGCTGCTGCTGCTGCTTCATGTACTTTGACATCTCTCTTCACTTGCATCTCTTTTACTGAAACACTAAACAGCTACAACAATATTCTACTGCTCTGGCTTTGATACAGGATTATTGCTGTTATTATCTACGGATGCTGCAGCTGCTGCTGCTGCTACTGCTGCTGCTGCTTCATACTGCTACTGCTGCTGCTGCTTCATACTGCTACTGCTACTGCTGCTTCATACTGCTACTGCTACTGCTGCTGCTTCATACGGCTACTGCTGCTGCTGCTTCATTTACTTTGCCATCTCTCTTCACTTGCATCTCTGTTACTGAAACCCTGAACAGCTACAACAACATTCTACTGCTGTGGCTTTGATACAGAATTATTGTTATTTTCTAAGGACGCTGCTGCTACTGCTGCTGCTGCTACTGCTGCTGCCGCGGCTTGATACAGGACTATTGCTGTTATTATCTGAAGTTACTGCTGCTGCCGCTGCTGCTACTGCTACTGCAACCCACTCTCTCAGAAGCTTATCCTGCTTCTAATGGATGCAGCCCGGCTGAGTATGCCGCGCTGCGCCGGACTCGCACCTATGCTCCCAGGGTCGCTTCGGCGGTCGTGCTTCATCTCTCTACTTAATCTTCTGATTCTATCAGATGCAGCTGGCCAAGTAGCTGCGCTGAGCCGTCAATCGGACTCCTAATCAAAGGCATCCATACCTGTATTCTTCACTCCTCTGATCGCAGGCTCCCCATCCTGCTGCCCATCCTGCAGCGGCGCTGAACTCCGGCTCATCTTCCAAGTACATGTCTGCCCTCCTCGCAGCATCTTCCTGCTCTCCTTCTATGGCTTCTCTGCATAAGCGTTTCACTACTGCTCACTCAACCTTCATGCGGTCCGAGACACGGCTTTCCCGACCATCCTACTATCTGATTATCTACTCTCCAACCCAAGATTCTAAGCGTAAGGGCGCCTGCAACATCAATGGCCCTCTCCGATATGTCTCTGCCCCTACAGGTCTCCGCTTCTACACGGACGCTGCCCCTTCCGTGGGTTTTGGGGGATTCTTCCAGGACCATTGGTTTGCCGAGCGTGGCCGCTACTTTCCACCGGAGCATCTCCTCTGCCCTACACGAGATATTCCCAGTGGTCGTGGCTGCGCGCTGTGGAATCACACGTGGCAGAGAAAGAGGATCTCTGTCATGTGTGATAATCTGGACGTAGTGGAAGCATTAAACAAAGGTCGCTCTTTTTCACCCAACATAATGTCCCCTGACCATTTCAACCTCCGTCTCAAACATTCAAAAATCAAAGGAGCCTGCAATATAGTAATAGCTCGCTCGGACACATCTCTCTGCCCCTACACATCCATGATGCGTTACACTCGCCTCCGCTGCAAAAAGGAGATTTTAACGGACCTCTTTTTCTCACTCCAGACATTCTTCCCACGACAGCAACCTGGTTCAGAGCTCAGCTAAGATCCCTACTGCTCCTCTGTAAATTGTCTCCCCAGCTCTACACAGCCCACTCTTTCCGGATAGGCGCTGCCACGCGCGCGGCCTCGCTGGGGCTCCCCCACACCTCTCTGCAACAGCTGGGGCGCTGGTCCTCTTCGGCCTTCTCCGCCTACATCAGGCCAGACGCGTCCGCCATCTTGGCTGCACAACGTCTACTGGCTTCCTCGTAAGCTCCCAGCAAAGCAATACAAAGCAAAGTAAGTGAACCAATAGGATTTCTGGTGGCAGCACGCACTTTTAAAGATAACTCTGCTACAGCGTCCGGTTGATCGTGATGCGAGCGCGCACGTCCCGGCGCTCAAAGATAACTCTGCTACAGCGTCTGGTATCGATCGTGATGCGAGCGCTCACTAGGGCGCCAAACATACCTCAATCAACAAACTTCTAACTGCATTTTCCCTCTTGGGTCTCTCCAAAGTGAAATGAAGCTCTTCGCAAAAGTTCACTGTGGTAGACCCGGCCACTGCTGCCAGATCTACAAGCCTGCTCATCCTCTACTCATTACACCAGCAAAACGCCCACATCTAATCCACCAATAACCACCAGGACAGCAAGTTAAAAGCCGGAGACGCCCACTTCCCGGCCTTCTGAAGTTTGCAAAGCCTCCGCCGCCCCACCTCCTCTCATCGAAGCGTGCTTGCCTACTGCCTCTGCCGTCACCAGTGCCTAGGCCCCGGGGGGGATTATGCGCGCGAGCAAGCGCCGCACTTAACAGCATCTCTCCCGGGCCTAGGGCGCCAAACATACTCAATCAACAAACTTCTAACTGCATTTTCCCTCTTGGGTCTCTCCAAAGTGAAATAAATATTGTGCAGCTTATCTGACTATTAATTTAGAGAAATCAAATATGTTTCAGAGAACTGTGAGTACATTTAAATTCGTGATCTCTGTTATGAAGCTAGGATAATGTCCAAAGTGCACAAGTAGAATTCAAACTGGAAGAAAAACTGAAACGTGGGAAAAAATAAGCTGTAAAAAGTAAAACAGGAGTCTTCGCGATTGTCTAAGTGAGGACTCTAAACTTACGGTGTCAATTTGTTTGTGATTAATCGTGGGACCCTCCCGTTACGATCATTGTAAGGCGTGTACTGTGACTCACCATCGCTGCCCCCTGGTGGCCGAGTACATCAGGACGCTGCTTGAGGTTCAAAGGCTCCATGATGCACGGAGAAGTTATGTACAAAGGAACCGTGTACAGGGCCACGAGCACAGAGAAGTACAGCAGTAACACCACCACCTGGAAAACTGAGAATTTTATTCAGTTAATCATCCGTTTATGTCACATTCTTATAGTAAGGCCATTATTATTGAGGAACGTAAGTAAGGAAAAATGCTGCAGAATAAGGGTATTGACAAAACTATATCATCTCTATATTCTTGCAGTTGGTCAATGACAATATTCTAAATGAAGTCTTGGATGAGATTAGTGTTAGGTGTGTTAAAATATACTTTGGATAAAGATTGATCATAAAAAAATGGATGCATTGAAAAAACAAAAGGATATTTCCATAAATATTTAGATTTTATAATGATCATAAATCAATATTGATATTTTGCAATGGAAAACGACTCAAACAAGCATGTAAACATAAACAGGAGGTTGTATTATTGCAGGAATGCAATATATTTAAAAGATGATATTTGAACATTTTGAATGCAAGTTTTCTGGTATATTTGGTTGTAATAATAAGCAGCTTTCTTTTCTACAACTATACGACATACAACCATTAACCATTATTTACCCATGAATAATCTAGGGCGACAGTAGCTCGGTTGGTAGAGCATTGGCCTTTGAGCCAGAAAAAAAAAAGAAGGTCGTGGGTTCGAGCCCACCTCAAGACTTTCACCATCGACTCCCACTGTCTGCTGTCGTTGTGTCCGTGGCAAGACACTTAACCTCTGGGAACACCAGATGCCACAGTGGGGCGGCTGCGGCTGTAAAGTGCCAAACTCGTCGTTGTGTCCTTAGGCAAGACATTTCACCCCTAGAATGAGTCTGGTGTGTGTGTGTGAGAATGGTTGGTGGTGGTAGGAGGGGCCGATGGCACATATTGGTTGCCTCGCTTCTGTCAGTGTGCCCCAGGGCATCTGTGGCTGCAGTAGTAGTTTATCACCACCGTGTTTGGAGTGAATGAATAATGACATTTAAAGAGTCTTTGAGAGTCCAAAATAATCGCTATATAAAACCAACGCATATTTTTATTATTATGAAATTACCCTGACAAGCATATTAAATGATGCTTGAATTGGAAAGTATAACCTAGAAATGTATAAATGTGAAACTATGCTTCGTAAGACACTTAGAGACACTTGTAGTGATGTAATAGCAATGTCCACTCTCTATTAACTCATAATAGAAAAAATACACACAAATGATTCAAAGCAACAGTCTCACTCACAGGGAGTGTATAGGTTTCAAGGTCAGGCCCAGGGCGGGGCCTCGTCTCCTGTTATCTCCTGTTACACACAGTCGTCCTCCACAAGAACTCTCCATCATATTTTAGAATTCAATGGAATAGGGAGTAGTGCTGCATGTATTTTATGGTCTAGTAAATTATCCAAAGCGGCTATTGTTTTTATTTATACTTCATACTTGGAAAGGGCTGTTGCATATTAGAGAAATCACAGAGTTTGTTTGAGTAAAATTGTGTTATTCTGTTATTTTTAAATCTCATAAATAGTTGTTTTTAGATAATTTCCTTGAGGTTGTGGAAAGACTAGTTTTAAGATCATCTTTATCAACACACTGAGAATCTATTTTGCCCATTGAGTGTAGATGGAAAGAGGTCAACTGGAAGTATTTGAGTTTAATAAACTGTGTTTCTGGTCTGATAAGGGCAAATCAAAAGGAGGACTTTTCTGAAATGACAATTATTGGTAACGCTTTATATTAAGGTGTGCTTGTTAAGTATTAATAAGGTATTAATAGACATTAGCATCATGCTTATAGATTGCTTATATGTACTTATAAACATATTAATAAGCTGCTCATTTCACTATTCTCTAAATGATGTTCTAGTTATATGCTTTTAAGCATTTAATAAGTAATTAGTAAGATACTTATTAAAAGGAGGAATATGTTTATAAATATATGAATAAGCTGCTTATTAAACTATTATCGATACCATGTTATAGGCCACTAACAATATGCCTATAAAGATATTAATACGCTGCTTATTAATAGGCAATAGTGGTAATAGGCCACTAAAAATATGCGTTAATAAACTGCTTATTACACTATTTTGCAGTACCCTAATCTAAAGCGAGGAGCATTTTTGTTAATGCAGAAAAAAACACAACAATGATCTAAGATGTTTTTATTTATTCAAACAGCAACAATTAAAGTCTAAATGAAAAAATATATCAAAATTAACTTTGTGCCAAAAGTTTGTTAGTAACTTCAGGAGCCATGATGAACCCACTCATGCTCCGACCTGCTCTGTTAATGAATTTGGCTTTGGCAAAACAGTGAATCAACTGACTTCACGAGCCTGAGAGATTAGCGGACAGGGGTGGGAACCTAAGGGTACCTCACGATACGATACGATACACGATACAAAGCTCACGATAAAGATTACGATAACGATTTTATCACGATATGACGATTATTGATATATTGGTCAGAAATATACAATATGCCAATTTATGGCATAAATAAAATAAAAAATACTCTTTATTTCATGATAAATAGAATGAGTTAGGGTTAGGGTATAGCTCTGGGCGGGGGGCTGCTGACGTCAGGTCTCAGGCGCCAGATTCAAAATTCAAATGTAGTAATACAGGTCGCCAGCAGATGGCGCCTCACAGGCGGTTTTAGGCAGAAAGTTTAACTTTCAACTAATTTGCACCAAAGTGACAAAATTATGACCAGGATATGTAGACAACACTATTGGAAATTCATTTATACCGTTTATCAGCAAAAAAAAAAGTGGATTTGAGGGTGAGTTGTCCTTTAAATCCACATTTTACTGCCACAAACTCTACTCGTCTGGCTCTAACTCCCGCTCTAACTCTCGCTCTGATCAGCAGCTCTGATTGGTCAGAGCACGGCCCCTCTGTGCACGTGCATGACAGCCACGCAAGCGTATTTGGCGCAAAGCATCATGCTGCGTCCACTGCGCAGAACAGGGAGGACCAGACGATGCCCAAACATAGGCGAGTTCCGCTAATCTCTCAGGCTCGTGAAGTCAGTTGATTCACTGTTTTGCCAAAGCCAAATTCATGAACAGAGCAGGTCGGAGCATGAGTGGGGGCATCATGGCTCCTTGAAGTTACTAACAAACTTTTGGCACAAACTTAATTTTGATTTTTTTTTTTTCATTTAGACTGTAATTGTTGCTGTTTGAATAAATAAAAACATCTTAGATCATTGCAAAGGAAGGTTTCTCACCCATCATCTGTACTTCTTAGCAAGTTTTCCCGACGTTTCGTCCTCAACCTGGGGACTTCTTCAGGGAATGAATTCTCGGACCGCGCGTCGGAGATTTATAACCTATGGGTGTGGTAAGCCACACCCTAATCCTGATACTAACTCGTAAACAATCTCAGGTCTGCTTGATGTAGAAGGGAGCAGGTCTAACGACCCTGCTGAGGCTAACGACCCTAACTCCTTAGCATGTCACAGACCTATTGTCTGCTGGGATGCAGACAAACTTATCGTTGCCAACTTTGGGAGAGACGCCCTGGTCTTGGCACGCGGGTTGGAGAAAATCAAAAGAAAACTAGCAGACGCCAGAAATCATCTTAGGTTCAATCTTAGGTGTAGCCAGAGTAAACTTATCCCAAAATGTTTAAAGCAAAAAGCATTAGAAACAGGCCAGTTGGCAAGAAAAATACAACAAAACTACTGTATGAAGATTCTCAATTTAAGAATTCGACGACTTAACATAGAGATTATAAACCTAAAGGACGAGATAGAGGGCCTTAAGCACAAACTGGAATTGGCAGTCTCACCAGAGTTTTTTCAGAGGATTTGGACGTTTACGGAAACTGCCCAACTGAACCATCACAAGAAGGCCAAAGAACGTCAGATAGGCAAATTTCTAAAACTCCAAAACCATAATTCTTTTCAACATTCTAAAAGTGAAATTGGACAAGGCTTGGACAGGGAGAATTGGGTCAAAAATCTGTCTGATCGGCATTTATCACAAGCGGAAAAAGATGTTCTTACTAAAGGCCTAAATTTTGCAATAACCCCAAAAGATATTCCTACAATTGAATACATCACAGCAGCAGAAGCAGCCATTAGAAACAACAAACTAACTGAGAGTGAGGCAGGGGCCCTCAGACTGAGAGTCTCTGCCACACTCAAAAGTGCGAAGCCCCCACAATCCAATGTCTCATTAGATGAGCAAAAAGCATTATTGGCATTACAAAAGGATGAGAATATAACTATTTTACCAGCTGACAAAGGCAGATGCACAGTTATCCTCAACAGCTCAGACTATGAGGCCAAAGTTAATCAGTTACTCGTGGACACCAACACGTACCAGCCATTGAAGAGGGACCCTACCAGTGGGTTTAGGAAAAAGATTATAGACTTCCTTCAGAACTTAATGAAAGAGGGCATTATTGATAAACCACTATATTACAAACTTTACCCAGGAGACACCATCCCCAGTATTTATGGCCTCCCAAAAATACACAAACAAAACTTTCCACTTCGGCCTATTGTATGTAGCATAGACTCTATCACCTACAACCTGGCTAAACACCTCAAAACCATTCTGGCTCCTTTGGTGGGTAACACCCACCATCACATAGAAAAACACAAAAGAATTTGTAAATAAAATCAAACACCTCCAGTTTGACTCAGATGAGACAATGGTCTCGTTTGATGTGACATCGCTTTTTACGTCGGTCCCTATTACAGAGGCGGTGGAGGCTGTAAGAGAAAGCCTACAGAAAGACGCCACACTAGGGGAGAGAACGAAACTAACAGCTGACCACATCTGTGAAATACTTGAAATGTGTCTTAACACCACGTATTTCCAATTTAGAGGCACCTTCTTTAGACAGATTCATGGCTGTGCGATGGGCTCCCCAGTCTCTCCTATAGTGGCCAATCTGTATATGGAGAAACTGGAGGAACAAGCCTTGGGCTCGTACCAAGGGACAGCGCCAAGCCATTGGTTTCGATATGTAGACGATACATGGGTTAAGTTAAAGAAACAGGAAGTGGAACCATTTTCAGCACACATTAACTCGGTGGACCCGTTTATAAATTTCACTCGCGAGGATGCTAAGGAGAGTGAACTCGCCTTTCTAGATTGTAAGGTCATCATACTGGAGAACGGACAATTAGAGACTGAGGTCTTCAGAAAGTCCACTCACACTGACCAGTACTTGGCCTTTGATTCAAATCATCCGCTACAACATAAACTCGGGGTCATTAGAACGCTTCAACACCGAGCCCACCAGGTCCCCACAAGCTCGGAGGGAAAGAACAGAGAAACCAAACATGTTCAGAGAGCACTTTCCAGATGTGGCTACCCCAAGTGGTCTTTTACTAAAGCCCAAAGGACGAGAAAGGCCAGAGACACAGTCCTACAGACAGAAGAAAGTAGGAGGAGAGGGGTGTCCTTACCGTATGTGGCGGGAGTTTCAGAGAAACTACAAAGAATCTTTAGGCAACACAAAATCCCTGTGTATTTCAAACCTTTCAACACGTTAAGACAGAAATTAGTGCATCCCAAAGACAAAACACCCAGACACAAACAGAGCAATGTGGTGTATTCAATTAAATGTAGTGAAGAGGAGTGCACTGACCACTATATTGGAGAAACCAAACAAACTCTACAGAAACGACTTTACCAACATCGTAGAGAAAACTCTAGTGGGCCACAGTCGGCTGTTCATCTCCACCTGAAGGCCTCCAACCACACGGTGGATGACACAGAGGTTAAAATTCTGGCTCGGGAGAAGAATTGGTTTGAGAGAGGAGTGAAAGAAGCCATTTTTGTGAGGAAACAAAAACCTTCTCTTAACAGAGGAGGAGGGTTAAGATTTGTTTTGCCTCGCATCTATGACGACATCCTAAAAACAACGCCCTAACTTGGGACAAGGTCAGTGACATGCTAATGAGTTAGGAGGGGTGAGACCTGCACTCCACTTGAGCATCCCAGCAGACAATAGGTCTGTGACATGCTAAGGAGTTAGGGTCGTTAGCCTCAGCAGGGTCGTTAGACCTGCTCCCTTCTACATCAAGCAGACCTGAGATTGTTTACGAGTTAGTATCAGGATTAGGGTGTGGCTTACCACACCCATAGGTTATAAATCTCCAACGCGCGGTCCGAGAATTCATTCCCTGAAGAAGTCCCCAGGTTGAGGACGAAACGTCGGGAAAACTTGCTAAGAAGTACAGATGATGGGTGAGAAACCTTCCTTTGCTTTGACTAATCCCTGTACGACTGAGGGCTTACACAAACTTATCTTAGATCATTGTTGTGTTTTTTTCTGCATTAACAATAATGCTCCTCGCTTTAGATTAGGGTACTGCAAAATAGTGTAATAAGCAGTTTATTAACGCATATTTTTAGTGGCCTATTACCACTATTGCCTATTAATAAGCAGCGTAATAATATCTTTATAGGAATATTGTTAGTGGCCTATAACATGGTATCGATAATAGTTTAATAAGCAGCTTATTCATATATTTATAAACATATTCCTCCTTTAATAAGTATCTTACTAATTACTTATTAAATGCTTAAAAGCATATAACTAGAACAACATCATTTAGAGAATAGTGAAATGAGCAGCTTATTAATATGTTTATAAGTACATATAAGCAATCTATAAGCATGTTGCTAATGTATATTAATACCTTATTAATACTTAACAAGCACACCTTAATATAAAGCGTTACCCAATTAGGTAATGAATAAATAAAGGAGCACAGGAGTTTTTCATTAATAGGATAATCTTATAATCTAATCACTAGTGCTGAGTTAGAATAGGCGTCTCCTGTAAAAAGGTCATCTGCTCAAAGGAGAAAAGGTAAATATGCCTTTGCTGAGAACAGCCACGTGATACTGTAGGAATGTCCGTTATAACAACAGAGTGGGGGGCGGGGGCTGGCCAGTGTCCACATACAGTAAATCATTGACTCTTCAGTTCTGCATAACAGCCTTGTGCATCAGGTAAACATTACTCATAATTCACACAAAACTCACTTGTTTTTTCAGCACGAGCCACTTGTCCCGCCACAATCCAGGAGAGAGCAGTGACCGCTGCTACGGCCCCTATGTGCAGGAAGGGGCCAGTGGCCTAAAGACAAATATGGGTTACCTTAAGAGTCAACAGATAAAATACTGACATCACACTGTCAGAAACCTCAATCTTACTTAATACCTATAATTCTAAATGCCACAGACTGTTTCAGTGATCCCACTTAAGTCTTCAAAGAGCTGGTGGTAGAAAACCGCCGTAGACGAACAATAATTACTGGCTTTTCAACAAACAAAGCAGCTCGCATTGTGCTCTGTCTGTTCTCATTCACACAGCAATATTGCACAGACTTCCACTATAGGGTGGGTGCAGAGGGTGCAGAGGTCCTTCCTCAAGTAGAAGAGTCAAAGTATCTCGGGGTCTTGTTCACGAGCGAGGGAAGGAACAAGGATAGACTATGTATCTCAGCTAGCCTGGGAACGCTTTGTTATTCTTCTATTTTTCAAAATAAATGAAAAAATAAATTATCTTTGAAGGTAAAAAAAAGATATGGTGAAAAAGTATGAAAGGTAACCTCCAGAGGGATGAGTTGAATTAGCTTGGGATTTTTTCTTTTTTTGTCTGCAACCCCAGCCATTCAATTGTAAAGAATGTTTTTTCAGCTTTATTTAATAATTGATGGCCAATAAATTATAATTTTGATTTAAAAAGCCAATTTCATCATACTATTAAAAGGATGGAGACAGGGGCTTTTAGAAAGAAGGGGCAGAGTTACATATTTGCGCCAAAAGTTCCTGATTTCAGCCTGGATAGATCTCCAGGCCTGTTTTTGGTAAGGGTACAATGCTGTGAAAAAAAAAAAAAAAAGTGAGTGGCTGGATTACAGACCTGCAGAGAGATGGGCACCACATCCCACTCATAGCCCCACGTCTGGGTGACTGATATGACCCCGATAACAGTGGTGAGCAGAGCCACAGAGACTCCGACCTGCAGACGAGTCACAGTAAGCGGAACTTTGAATGTATTTATGCACAAGCAAAAGCACACAATACATTTCTACTCTCCTTTGTTTACTGATAATAGTCTGGGTGCAGCTTCATGACAAAATACTACTGGAACAGACACTAGTGAAATGTGGCCCAAAAGTAAAAGTAGAGTTGGTTAGATGATCTAATTAGTAGTAACTAATTTAGAAATGGATCAATAGTCTTTTGAATCTTACATGACAAAGAGGAGGCTTCATGACTGATAATTCTTGAATATTGGCATAATTACTGTAAATGAAAATGTGTTTACAAAGTATTTCAAAATAACAACCCAATGTGTATCAAGTCCTCTGTATTAAGGCGTTCTCCAGGGGAATCACTTGCACCATGTTTTTTTAGGTAATCTAAACTGAAATAATAAAGAGCCAACAACTATAGCCACGTTTCCGCAGGAACTTTGGGGTAATTTTCCAGGGCCAGCCCCGTCTGTGCGTGTCTCCACTGCAGGAACTTTCCCCACAGGGCCATTTACAGGAATTTTAAAGGGGCTCAATGGAGTCCCTCCTTCATGGTATGTACTCGGTTGGGCCCTGGTGGGACTTGAGGTTAACCCGGCGCGGATTGGCTAAAACTAGCGCAGGCTCAGGCACTCAGACGCCAGCAGAAAGCAACGAAACAAGCGGTGTTAGCCCAGCAGCATTAGCCTAGCAGATATCGTGAATAGATAGCTACATGGAATCCGTCTCTGTGTGATTCATTCTCCACACAGACACCACTGGAAACAGCGAACAACAGCACGGTGATTCAGACAAGGTTTGAGGCATCGTATCGAAATGAAAAGCTATATTTAGACATATCAGCTTCACCTCGAAGCACTGGAGATTCATCACACTCCAAAACAAGCCGGGAAATGTTTTTAAAAACTGAAGCAGGATTATAAAAAAAACTCAAAGACCACAACAACCGTAGCGGTTACGACTGTAATATTAACAAATGGGTTTGGCGCATGGATCTATAATAACGGGTTTGGCGTAATTAGTTTCGCTTATGCGGCAATCAAAACTCTTATGACGTTGCCGAGTGGTCCTACTGCAGTGGAGACACGGACACTGAGAGGACCGAGGTAGAGGAAGGTTCCTGTAAAAGTTCCACCCTGCTACTTTTACCAGGAACTCTTGCTGTGGAAACGCAGCTAATATCATTGTTTACCGCCCTAATGCAAGTATTAAAAATGTATGTGATAATAATAATCTTAAATACTCTTAAAATACATTTGGCATCTTCCAACAAAACAGCCGATACAATACAATAAAATACATGTAACAATAATTGCAAAGGCTCAGCTACGGTTTGATGGCTCAATACTAAATTCTTAAACACCTTTTAACTAGTGTTGTTCCCACGCATAAGTACACGAGAGAGCACAAGAACATGCACTGGTTTATCAGTCTTCCGCCCACTTGACACAATCAGCCCAGTCTCACTTCAACACTTTACCTTATGTAGCCAGTGCAAATTCAACTGTTGGCCAGCGGCAACGTGGCAAAGTGCTAGAACCTAAAAATAGAACAGGACAACAGCTTAATATGGGACATTTCATTCGTATAGTGGATCACAATTATGTTATATCTCTTGTACATTTATCATTGACAACTTCAAACTTTCTATGGTCCTAATGCTTTACATTATTCCTTGCCAATGGGCGTGATGAGAATACTTGGTCAGATATAATACAATTTACTTAATAACACGCAACAATATTGCAATTTGAAGAATATTATCTATATTCTTTTTAACTGCACGGTTGTTATGTCTTATTGTAATTCTTTGTGTGATTATAATGGTTTTAATTACCTGTGTGGTTATAATTGTGTTTTTAATGGTTATTTTGGTGTTTGTTTTATGAAATGATTTGTGCCTTGTGTGGTGTGGACTGTGAGGCGCTTTGTGTTGCCCTGTGTATAAGAGTATTGCAAAGCTACTACTTGTTTGTATATTTTGTGTGCTCCCTGTGTGCTCTTACTACTGTTCTGTCTGTGCGCTGCAACATCGAAATTTCCCCACTGTGGGACGAATAAAGGAACTCTTATCTTATCTTATCATAAACAATGACATTTACATTGACGTTAAACCTTTCTGATGGATTTCTATAATACATGGGGATTATTGTCATCAGCATAATGAGGGGGGAAAGAGATTTGGTCACTCCCACTCATTAAGTGCCAAGAGACATTATTCGTGTCACCGTCAGTGGATATAATGAGTCTTCTTGGGTGAGTGCTTACCATTAAAAGTGTGATGTAGGTGAATCCGGCGGCGGTGGTAGCCAGGATGGGAGCTGTGCCGTCGCTCCACTCTCCAGATCGGTTATAGAGAAACCTGTCAGAACAAGAGCAGAGTTCAAAAGGTCTGTTTTAAAAGTCCTGGACACAGCTGTGGAGGTAAAAAGCAAGTGTGGGAGAGACTTGACCTCTGGGCTCTACATTCAGAGGCTTGTAGTGATGGTAACAACACAGCGGGTTACCAAGACACTCACACATTCATGCAACAGACACACTTGGAGATCACCTCACACCGGCGGCAGTTTCTTTCTATGAAAAGTCATGACCCAGACAGACTGCAACCTCGGTGCAGTGACCGCAGTCAATGAAAAGTCACGAGGGGTGTCACACTGTGCACTATGGAATGTCCACAGAGTGTTCCTTATTTAATCAAATAGGGAAATACTAATTATGCTTTCCCCAGTGGGGCGACTGTGGCTGTAAAGAGTCTTGTCTTAGACTTTACCCACATCCATAGAGTCTGGTGAGGGCATGAATGGTTGGTGGTGGTCAGAGGTGATCGCACATACTGGTTGCCTTACGCTCCACTGGTGTGCCCCAGGACAGCTGTGGCTACAATAGTAGTTTAACACCAATGTGTACGGAGTGAAAGAATAATGACATGTGAAGTGTCTTTGAGCGTCCGAAAAAGCACTATATACGTAAAACCAGTGCATCATCATCATTATCCAACAGATCAGTGAGTGGATGCAAAACAACTTTCTTCAGCTAAATGCAGAGAAAACTGAAATGATTGTTTTTGGTCCCCAGAAACAAAGAGAGAGCGTTATTTGTCACCTCCAGTCTCTCTCCCTGGAACCTTTAGGTAAGGTCAGAAACCTAGGAGTAATAATGGATTCAGACTTAAATTTGAACAGCCACATCAAATCAGTAACATCAGCAGCTTTTTACCATCTGAAAAACATTGCCAAAATTAGAAACATAATGTCTAAATCAGATCTGGAGATTCTTATCCACGCAATTGTCTCCAGTAGGTGGTTAGACAACTGCAATGGCCTGCTCACTGGACTTACCAAACAGGCTGTAAAACAGCTGCAGTATGTCCAAAATGCTGCAGCTCGAGTCCTGACCAGGACCAGGAAATATGACCACATTAGTCCAGTCCTCAGGTCTCTGCACTGGCTTCCTGTGGCTCAGGGAATAGACTTTAAAACAGCGCTGCTTGTGTACAAGTCTCTCCATGGCCTCGCACCAAAATCTATTAGTGACATGTTAGTACCATATGAACCGGCCCGGACTCTGAGGAGCACAAGAGGTAGCCTCTTACTGGTTCCAAGAGTCAGAACTAGACATGGGGAGGCAGCGTTTCAGATTTATGCAGCTAAAATCTGCAACAATCTTCCTGAAGACGTGAGGCTGACATCTACTCTGGCAGGTTTAAAACTGTTCTGTTTAGCTGTGCATACAACTGAGATTTTATAGATTATAGATACTCTTTTTTTATGCATTGTGGCAATTTATTATTTTAATCCCGTGTGTGTTTTTAATGTTATAAGGTTTTGAATTACTTGTGATTTTATTCGTTTTTTAATTTTTTTTTTTTTTATGTGTATATGTAGATTTTAATGTTTCTGTTTTGTTTGATATGATGTGGGTTGTGAGGCGCTTGAAGTTGCCTTGTGTTAGAAAGGCGCTATACATAAAGTTGATCGATCGATCATAGTGTCTTTATTCTTCTCATACAGCCTCAGTCATATTTTTTCAGGCCGAATTAAGGCCCTGTCCACACGAAGTCAAGCTCAGGCCTAAACGCAAAAATACTTTATCAATCCAGTGTATCGTCCATACGAGGCCGGCGTTTTGGGGGGGTGTAAACGAACATTTTTGAAAGTAGGTCCCAGAGTGGAAAGATTTCAAAACTCCGTATATGCCGCTCCGTGGTTACTGCCTCTCCGCAATGTATCTGAGACGCTTGCGTCATCGCCCCGCCTCTTGTTAAAGCACGCATGCGCCGCACTCAGAAAATAATGACAACAACAATGTAGCTTGTTGGTTTTGTAATCCAGTGTGACCCGAAGCAACAGTTCAACCTCATCGTCCGTCCATACTAATGTTGTACCAGCTCGCCCACTCGCCATGTTGTCTGTTTACAAAATTCTGCGCATGCCCAGTTCCCGTCACGGAAGTTTGGGCTTGATCCCGTCATTGCGTCACAGCGCCACCAACAGGTCTGGCATAGTTTCACAGCGTTTTCAGGCGTATTGACTAGATTCATATGGACGCACACATTTACTGAGCTAACTCCGTGTTTACAGAAAAAGTTTCTGAAATTATAAGAGTTTTGTCTCCGTGTGGATATAGCCTAAAAATCGTAAAAGTTGTGCCACAGGCTCTGCACTTTGGCCCAGTCTAAACCGCAGATATTTGTCTTTGTTTGCACCCGTCAACCACATGACAACTCATCATAAACAAATATATTAAAAAAAGTAAAGATAAGATATTTGAAAACTCTGTTTATGCATTTGCGTATAGACAGAGATAACCGGAGTTTTGCATTTTCGCACGTCCCAATATGTGCCAAATATGTGCCACTGAAGAAGGATCTTATTGCCTTAAAAACTGTTCGCTGCTGCGAACCGTGAACATCCTCGCTCCACATTAGAGAGCAGCAAAGTGATCAAGGGGACTCGCGCTCGAAAACAACCAAAACAGGAGCTAAACCAGGATTAAACCAGGGCTGAGGACGGGGGTCAGTGCTTGTAAAAATATGTCTTCACCATGAGATTCTACTATGACTGTAAAAGTGCCGCTTCAGAACTACCAGCATCAGCATCAAAGCTCCGCCACTTCTGTGTTTTTCCCCCAACGCAGGACGTCAGAGGATGTTTGGAATGTTATGAATGTGTTTGAAAACGCAGATGGGCGGTTATGTGTGGATGCAAATTATTTTATAAACGGAGGGGGGGAATATCAGATGTTAAAAATGCCCGGCTACGTGTGGACATGGCCTTTGGACTGCTGCAATTGACACACCTCAATACCGTCTGCGGTTTGGACTTGAGTGATTTGTGAACATTTAACAAAAGTATCAGATGAAAATTATAACCATGACCATTATATGGCTCCTCCTTGAATTACTAATGTGCTTTGTCAGAAGGAGTAAAACTAGGAGATGAATGAGAGACCAAAGAGGTTGAGATAATTATAGACCAGGTGGAAGGTGAGGTGGACTGTGCGTAATAAAGAGGTGACATTGGAGGAGGTTTTATGGGGGGAGGAGTGCAGCTTTGAGGAAACAAATCTCTCCTCAAATTGTTATTTTCATTTAGTTGCTAGAAATGGATGCAAGCATAACTACACATCAACCAGACATTTTGATGTGACAATAGTTATGTGTCCAACTATTGGACTCCACATTACCATAAGAGAAGTTGCTCTTTTATTTTTTTTTAAGATTAGGTTTGCCAAAAATACATAAATACTGAAAACATTACAACCTTGACTGAATTTCAATGTCAAGAAGATGGTGTCAGAAACCAGTTTAGTATTGTAACAACAGTTGCATGATATATGTGGCAATAACTGAGAATACAATATACCAGTTATATATAAAGTATATTTTACTACTATCATAACTGCTGTCAACTTAATTTTTAAGAATGTTGATTTTTGGTAGTTTGGCAACTCCTCATATATAATATACAACTGACAAGATTATATTGTGTAACAGTTTCAGAATCAAAATGTCCCTCACCAGTTGTACTCGCTGTAGTCGTTGTGAGCCTCCCACCAGAAGTAGGACCAGAGCAGCAGCAGGCTGAAGGTGACGAGCAGCACCAGGGACCACAGCAGCTCCCACTGAAACACAGCAGCATCATTCATTACCATCACCCCAAAGACAAGTTTATAGAGGCTGAGGGATTTCTCCTCTCACAAAATGATATAGTGGTGGGCGAAAAAAATCTATTTTGTTCAGAATCTCGATATTATGAGCATGCAATTAAATCCATACAGTAGAGCAAAGTATTGCAATATTTACACTTTCTCTGAGTTTCGCTCCAGTACTTTAACATAAACCTCAGATTTACTCTATTACAGGTATGTCTGCTTTTTGTTACTTGTATTTGAATAATTTAAGTTATGTGCTGGGAGCTTACCATTCATGTGAGAATTATTGTCTTGTCCTGTAATAACGCCCTGTGTCCTGAGTGTTCAAGAAAAAAGTATTTGCACTTCAGTTGATGTGCAGACTCTAATAAATGTGACATTTGAGTTGAATAATATGAGGGACATAAATTGCAATATATTGCAGAATTAAATTGCAATACTTGCTGAATCGCAGGATGTTAAGAATCACAATAATATTGAAATGTGGCCAAATTATTGCCAATTCCCACCCCTATAATGTACAGAAAGGGTATTTCACAAGGAGATGTAAGTGTAAAGATACAATCATGGTACAAATTGTCAAAGCCAGACCTAAAATGAAATGGATTGCCAATAAAAATACTAAAATCAAGAACGGAAATCTGTCATTTTACATATTTCAGATCCCGTCAGCAAAAATGAAGTTGGTGTATTCCCTTATCCTCTTGTCTAATTAAGTAACTCATTTGAATGACTAATTACTGTTCTTTTCAAACAAGCGCTTCACACTTGACCTGCACAGAATAAATTATAAAGTGACTAAAGAAATTCAAGGAAGAGGCAGCGACAGACAAAATTAATCCTTTAATACATTTATGAATCACCTTGTAACCTTCTAAGCCATTTATCATTTCAGAAGAAGATCAGGACCAAAACAGGAGCCATACCAGCCAACTTTACTGTACTTTCTGCAATGCTTTATAAATGTCTGTTATATTAATTTAGTGGTGGTACGCGAGTATTGTAGCCACAGCTGGCCTACGGCAGACTGACTGCAGAAGTGGGTGTCCCCGGAGCCTCAGATCACCATCAATCCCTCACTCCTCAGATTCAGTCCGGTACACGTTTTAATAATGATATTAGACAGAAGCAACTGATAATAACCATGCATTGATTTACTGTAAAAACCATGACCGGGAAGAACAAAATCTTCTTTCTATATCGATGACAGCAAGGGCTCTCTTTATGAGAATCTTAAAAAAAGCTACGTAAGAGTAAAGGCTGCATCTCTGTAACATCCTCCCACCTGCTTCAGCATTCAAACCATAAGATCTGCACATTACAGACATAACCGCTTCACTAGAGCTTAATTTAATGAAACAAATGAGCTTTGAGGCTTTTTCATTAATCTGTTCATACAAAGTAGATTTTCCATTCTTTACCCTCTATTTTTTTAGAAACCCTCACTTGACTTATTTACATCATATTACCATAGTGCAGCGCCTGGCATGTTGTTCAGGCACTCTGCAGAGCTGCAGCAACTGTCACAGCAAGATCTCAAAGTTTCTCAATACAATATTTAAACTGGAAAATACTGATGCAAATACTGTTACAAAAACAAGGGCCGTCTGAAAAATAGAACTTTTAGAACAAAGAAGATTTTTTGAGTAAAAGGACTGAATAATCCAAGGCACTTGTGGTTTTCTTTAATATCAGAACTTGCTATTTTAAATATGCACCAACACATTTTGGTCCAACTTGGCATTTCTCAGGGTGCAAACAGGAAAAATGTGTTTTGACAAACTTTATTATTAACTTTTTATTGAGGAGCTTTTTATTTTTGAAAGATTCAATATTTTCTTTGTGGCTCAAATACATATTTACACTTTCAAAAGGGTCCTGTCTCAAGCCTAAATGCTGTTCTCAGTATAATATATTAATGAAATGAGACACATTTGAACTCTTAACAAAATTTCAAATATTCCTTCAGCTCTTGGATTTCTGATTCCAGAGGCACTGAACAGTCAGATCAGGACTATTCTATGGACATAGCATGGCAAAGAATTAACGTACAAATGTTAATGATGTAGTGTAAAAAGAGGTTCATGTGGTTAGGGTCTCAGTGAAGCTCACATCACATGCTTTTCTCGGAGCTGCCGTCTTCGCTGGACCAACACCTCAGTCCCATGTCACATTCCTGACCATATCCCGATAAGTCCCTGGCATTTCACGCATGGTCTACTGCGGCACCCTTCATCATTCAGGCATATGGGCTATAATACAACAGGTAGAACTCATTGACTTAATTACTGTATATTGAACTGCAGTCTCTATATGGAAATGAATTAGAATCCCATCAGTCATTCAGCTCAAAAACATGCAAAGTTGGGGTACCTCATTCTCAAACCACAAAAAATGCAACTATGTAACAAAAATCAATCTAATCAATTCATGGCTCTAAAACAGTTTAGCGTTATCACCAGTTTCCATATGCATTTGTTGCCCTCTGTCACATTTATATCTGAAAAAAAAAATCCCCCAGAAAACCCAGAAATGGCAGCAGTTTACTACCACCCTTAAGCCAGGATAACAGTTCATTATTTTCTTGTCCTCATCACTGACAAACAACAAGAAACCTCCTTCTATTTTTGTCTCTGTTGTGTTCCTGAACGCTATAGACTAAAGCTAAATGGAAATACATTTAATTATTACTGAGGCTCCAGATCGGTTTGCAGGTGGTGACGTGGTCCGTTTTCCTACAAAGTGTAGAGAATAAAAAAAAAAAGAAAAGGAGAAAGCCAGACTTTGGGGACCATCCTAACTACTTTATACAGTGAGGAGCGATGAGACAAACTGCATTATGGGTACTTAAATTATGTGGACAGCCGTTTCAACATGAGAGTGACGGCTCTCACGCTTCTGTGATTTGACTCCAGTTACAAGAAGCTGATACCTGTGTTCTCCAGCCACAGTTTGTTTACATGTAACCGAATGTCTCTAGCCTTATTTCTTCAGCCAAAAACACAGGAATTTTTACCAAAAACTCCAGGGTAAGTTTAGAGTAAAAACGGTTTTCATCATTCAAAAAACATAGTCTTTTTGTTAAAGGACCCATATGAGGCTTTTTGATATTTCTCTGGTTTAAACATGATTACAGTGCCCTTTATACTCATGCCCAGAGTAGGTTTTTTTTTTCATTGATTCCTTCTAGCTTTAGTTAAGACGGCAATCTTTCTTTTTCATTCGAGAGGCACAGAAACAAGTAGTTTCAAAATCGTGAAAATTGTGACGTCAAAAGCCCGCCTCCAAAAGGTGATTGACAGCGGAGAGAAACTGAACCAGCGAATCAGCGCAGGCTATGATCAGCGCATGCAGCCTCTGAGTTCAGCGTCTGGTCCATAGACTGTCAGGTCTGAAATGACTACGTAACATCGAAAGCTGCACAGCTTTTGTTGACCTCAAACTTGGCAAGAGGCTTGCTGTAGTCCATTATATTGCAATTCAATGCACTGCGCAGTGACTTTAGAAAACTGATTTTGAAAGTCGGAAGCTGACACAAGTCTAAAAACCTTTTTGTGACAGAAAAACTCAGCTTTTGTCTTTTGTTATGAGCACTCTTATAACTTTCATTGTAGTTGGTAATAAGGACGCTTGGAATGTTGTTGGAAAGGGAGGGAAAACTTAAGACAGCTGCAATGGATTTAAAATGAACCATTTGTGTTTGATTTTTTATACTAAAACAATCAGGTGCAACCAGTTTATTTTGACAACTATTTTGTGGTAGTATCTGAGCTGTAGTGTGTGGACATTTACGCTACTTGGAATGTGTACAGACTTACACAACGTTTATGGATGGTTCCTTGATCAGATAAAGAAACTTAACAAGTTGCAAATACAGTAAATCCTGCTTTTCTACAGTCTCCCCGCTAAAGTTGATACTGCTCAATTTTTAAAACTCACTTCCTGAGTTCAAATGTCCAGATGTTATCATTGCAATGTTTGTTTATTATCACAAAATGATTTGGCATGGCAAGCAAGTCATCACCTTGAACGTATCAGAAAATTCTTTCTTGAAGTGGACAGTCTCCTAACAGAAATATTCTCCTATGCCACCTGTAGCTCTGGCTTCTGTTTTGTCTGGTTCAATGGGGTCAGAAAGACTAGAGACTGGATCCATTCACGAAATGCTTCAAACACACAAAAGTGAACAAACGCGGCAGAGTGCTGACGAGGCACAATCCTCTCAGCCCAAAGACAAGCACGCCGAGCCAGAAGAGACAGAGTCATGTTACTGCATAAAGAAAGGAAAAATCAATGTGTCTTTACTTCGAACCACAATGCTGTTTATTACATAAGTGCTATCAAATGTGATTCATATCTCTATTATCATGGTTGCACAATACACAGGTGAACTGCAGCCTTTTGTGTCGCAGGAGCAGGTGGTGCTCTGCAGGTGCCCGGCTACTGGATGGTATGTGGGCATAAATAAATGATCTAAGTTAAGACGTCATTCTCCAAAAGACTAAACTTGGGCATGTCTTTCAGTGTTGTCCTTAACTACTGAATAATATTGATGAAGTGAAGGACACAGCCTTTCCTAGGATTTACCATCACTAAAGCTCACTTCTATAATAAGTTTGAGTGTCCCGATCTAATTTGCCTATTTGAATAGGCTTTGGAAAATTTAAATTGAATATTATTCATCCAGCACAATAAAAGCTGGGGCCGTTTTATTGTGGAGCTAGATCAGAACGTTTCCCCTGCATGCAAAAGCTGTTTTTTTTTTACATTTCATCAATCGCCAGGCCCATAAGGATACTTGTTACAAAATAAATAACAACATAATGGATGTGCTGACAGGAAAAGCAGGAAGTCTGGTGATCCTTAATAAACCTAGGTGCATAACTGTCAAGGTTAAGGTTTTTCAGAGTAGGGACAAACCAACTGGGACATTTCCTTCAGATAATTGTTCTTCGAAAATCAATGCAGTTACACCAACATGGAGCATCAGGAGAAATGATGGGTACCTGCAATCCCAGCTATACCCCAGGAACACCTTTCAGCAGATATTGTGGCAATATCCTCAAAAACAACTAATAAACAAAATCATTTGCTATGAGTTTTTGACATCAATGAATGGTGAACTAGACATTTGTCACAAACTCATTTGGATCTCATGGGCTTTTTCTTAACATTCTTGTCTCTGGAGTCTCTCTTCAACATTTGATCTATAATTGTATCTTCCGTCTTCTACACATCTACCAATGTGAAAATATACTCAATCTTAAAGTACTTGAAAGCATTATGTGGCCTCCAAATATGGATCACCACTTTCCAATGCCATTATAACACATAATCGTACTATTATGACACTTACTAGTGGACGATTGTAAATGTATCTAGTCTGGTGTGGAAAATCCGGTGCAACAAATATTATCTTTTGCTCCAAGGTCAACCAAATGTCACTGAGGCTCCATTAACAGATTGACTGGGGATCCTGGATAAAGTCTCTACGGATATCCACCATATTATGTGAAAATGAACTGTAAGCTTCCCCAGAATGTCCAGCCTTGGATAATCCAGTGTATGAAGTGCTGCCACAGAAAATATTTGGAATTGAAAGAAACATCTTCAACACATTAGCTTTGCTGCAAATGCAAGAAAACCAGGATCATCAAATCCTTTAGCGGGTCATATTTTGAACAAAACAGAGGTGCATTTGTAAGGCCAGGATAGTGAGATAGTGATTGAGTTAAGCAATATAAATGTGCCTAACAAGCAAAACCAGTCAACAAAAAGGTAAGCTTGTTACAAACGCTTATTTTATGTTCAAGTCTCTGGCGGATGCCCTGGAAAGCTAATATTTTCTTGACAGAATTCATCTTGTTACAGTAGTAATTGATTCATGTTTATCCAGTGCTTGTTCAGTCCGTATATTATCAAATGCATACCCTCTCCTCCTGTAACTATACTTAAAATTAGCCTTTGAGCCTTTTCTATCAGAAGCACTTTACACTTCAAACTAAAAGTGAAACTTAAGCACATGCAAGTTCACATGAGTTTAAAATGAGGTCATATGACTTTCCTCTGATTTCTGTGTCGGAGAAGGATATAGACCTGCTCACAGCCCACCCTCGCCCAAAGTGGCCCACTTTAGCAGCTCGACTACTCACTTTGAGAGTGTGAAAATGCACAAACTGAGCAAAGCAGTGATGAATTTTTTGGCCCTGAATTTAATAATTTTGAACTGTTCTGTAATGTACTGTTTTTTTATATGAAATTATAAATGCATTTTTTTAAATCTGTGTTTACTGAAGTTTTGTCTGTGCATTTAACTGCTCTTGTGAAGCCCTTTGAATTGCACAATTATGCTACGCAAATACATATTGATTGACTGATGAGGTACTTTAAAAAGAGATGTGGACTTTCTGAATTTGAGCCTTGGTCTTTGTGGTACCCCGCTTTGAGTTGGGTTTTGACTGACCTTAGTGGTGTCATCGTGAGAGCGTTGGTAACGTTTCCAGCGGCAGCCGTAGATTCCAGTGATACAGGACAAGCACAGCTGCCGCTCATACACCTGCAGCGGCTGGTGTTTGACCATGCTCCTTCAGTCAGAGGCCAGCGCACCTCCAGAACACCAACATCCCACTGACGGACAGGAACCTGCAGGGTCAAGACAAACACTGGTGAATATGTACAGAACAAATGTTAAAACTGGGGTACCTAACCATTAAACAGCTCTCAGATATCAAATAAACTTGTAGGAAGAGTCTAATATGAAGAAAGCATGTAGTGGACTAACAGAATTTTAATCTTACAGGACTCTTTTCTGTCCAACAACATTATTTATGATGGTAAAAAGTGTTTCAGTCAAGTTGACATCAGTAATTCTTTTTTTACATGTCTGACACAGCAATAATATTGAACACAAAATTCTATATTTATTATATGTTTTCAGTAGAGGGGAGCTTTGTTAGGATTTTGTCCAATAGCACTTGAAATATAGAGGCTTTGGAGGGTGGCACTAACCGTCTTATTGACTACTGAAACACTTTTTGCCTGTTGTGATTTTAAGGACCGTAACAAGGACTGCAACAAAATTTCCTTGGAATACATTTTGCGTGCCATCTATCTGGTTCATCATTTTGGTTTATTTTGTCAGTTGTTACAACCCAAAGTACAGAACATATATTTGGGTACACAGGGACGGTTCAAAAAGCATTTTATACTAAATTAGATTCTTGATAAAACCAAAACCCAACCCCATGTCTAGAACAAAACACAAAGTAACAAATCAAAACAAACCAAATGGGCCGACACCAGACCAGCCTAATGCTGGGGCTGTCCAGATCTGATGCCGATACCTAACTAAAGAAAAAAAACAGCTAGCCACACCAACAAAACTGGAAAAACTGGAAAAAACACAATTCAAGGGAGAAAATGTGCCCAATCATCACATCAGTGGCATAAAAGTAGTTTCTATATGATGGTTCATTCTTTTTTCTTAATCAATGTTGCATTTTTTTTTATATATCTATCCATCCATCCATTTTCTACCCTTTAATCCATTTCTGGGTCAGGGGGGTGGCAGTCAGAGATGCCACCCAAGTCTCATCGCACCAGCCCCTCACTGACCCTCTGCAGGTGGTGAGTCCACAGGAGGACGGCTGCTCTCTGAGTGTGAGCATAGCCTTGATCTTTCAGCGGGGGCTTTGGGCAAAGTGGGGTTAAGTGTCTTGCCCAAGGACACAACGACAGCAGTCATCAGTGGGAGTCGGTGGAGAAGGTGTGGAGGTGGGAATTGAACCCACGACCTTCAGGCCTGAAGGCCAATGCTCTACTAACTGAGCCACTGTCGCCCCATTTTTTATATATCTGAGTCTTCAAAACCATGTGTTTTCTTTCCTACAGCAGTTTCCAATGATAACCAATCCCACGCTCATTAGTCATCAATAAGACAAAGAAAGTGAAATGAATTGAACAGACCACATATTGAACACCACATCAGATCAGTGTGACCATGAACACATCACAGGAACATGCCGCAGTCAGTGCCCAGACATAAGGTCGAGAGAGGGCAAAGCCTCTGGTGGCACTAATACTGCAACTAAATACACAAGTAAATACCGCCCTAATCAGCACAAGGATCATTACAGAGGAAAACTACATAACCAGGGTCATTCTACCAAATTTGCTTGTGACTTTTTGTGGACATATTGAATAACACTGTATAAAAAAAAAAATTGGCTCCTTAAGCATTAATATACATTATGAAATGGATCACGTTTGGAAACGTTGTTCTTGTGTTAACCCTCAATCTTGTTAATGTCTTGATTTTCAATTAGATCAATGTGCAAAATTCCACCCTAATTTAGCCATATTTTGAAATTATACAGAATATTAAAAAAGGTATAAAGCAACAATAACGAAGAGAGATGCAAACAACAAGTGAGCTTCAAAGCAAAATGTTGAAATAACAAATTACAATTAAAGCCGCAAGCGGCGATGAAAGCCCTCGCCACTCTCACACCCGCACCCCGGGCGCAAGTGCGTTGGACAATTTCGAATCATTCAGCTTATGAAATTTTTCACCAAACCGCCCGCATTAAAGCTGCACCAACTGACTTTGGGATTTTGAAGCCGCGGACTCGCTGGCCTCTCTTTCTGCTCCCTTCCCCACACCCACGAAGCTATCGCCCCCCACACACACCCACTGTTGTTGACGGAGCTAGCGTCTTTCAATATGGATATTATGGATATATGGATTTTCACGTGGATGGCGTGACCATAGAACAATAGAACCAGGAAGCGCGGAGGAACAGGACTTTCTTTTGGATGGTTGTTTCGCTGTGTAAGCAGTAATCGGTGACGAAGACACACAAAGCTTCAGGTTAGCTCCGCCACTTGTTGTGCTAACTCAGCCGTCTATGCAAACGGACCTATAGATTTCTCACAAAAGTGGGGGCTAGTTGTCCGCTGTGATTGGTCACAATCTGCGACCCGAAACACATACTCTTCCTTGTTTCATCAAAACTCGATCTAAAATATAATGTCACACCAGCACAACTCTGCGCTACTTTTTCTTCAAAAGGACGTATATTCCAATGCACTGCATGGATATGGATAGCACTTTCGTAATGAATACGAAAAGAAAGTCTGTTAGTGCAGCTTTAAACCCCCCATGTGCCAACATTCAGGGTTAAAAAAAATCCGAGACCGGCAAAAAACAATAGTGAGGGCTAAAAATCTTGATAGCTTTGTTGTATTTTGCTAAAATTAATGTTCATCTTTGGAATGAAGTGAACAATGTAATAAAATATTATTGATTCTGTTAAACAATTGAATCTAGAAAATACTATATCAACATGAACATATTTGTCTATTAATACATCTTTGAAATCTCCCTAGTGAGTCTTAATGCTGATCTGAATCAGCATTAAAATACGTGAGAGCCAAGTAGACCAATCACAATAACTCATTTTGACAGACAAACTACTTCTGTAGATTATTTAGATCAAGGTCAGTATTGAAATGACTTGATACATAATGATTCATAAAAAAAAAATTCCCAAAGAAAATGAGCAGAAGAATTAAGACATATTTAGACATTAAACCCTACAGAAAAAATCTGTCCAATTTTGTTTTATCCATCAGTTTTAATAAGATACAGTATTGATTATAGAGCCAAGAATACATACAATCACAAACCATATAGAAAACAATAGGGCGTACAGACAGTGTCACTACACAGGGCAACATGGCCCTATTCCCAACGCACAAAACACTGCCCTCTCATCTTGGCTCTGCCGTTGTGGCTCACAAAACAATTGCTGATTCAGCTGTAATGATAATCATATTACAGTGGTGTTGACTGTTCACGCACTTGGCACAACATGACCCGGGCTGTTGGGCAGCGTTTCTGCTCACACACACCTCAACAGCACATTAGTAACAAGTAAATTAAAATATAAAACAAATCTAATCTATTATCAACTATAATTATATTTATGTTTTATACTGTTCTTAAAGTAACATTTGTAACTTCAGCTACTCAACTTTTAGGTACACAAATTTGAGTGTTTCAAAGTTATTCTTTTTTTTACAGAGGTTTATCTTATTTTGCGCGCTTCCTGTATCTTGAGTTCCCACTGCGTTGCATCACTGAAAACTCTTATCTTATCATTTCAATAATTGGCCATCTGCTCGAGAGAAGATTTGTTTTTGTGTATAAGAAAAGGTAGAAATCTACATTTCTAATACAAATAAGAATCATTGTAAGTAACAGGAAGTCACAAACTAGGAATTGGCTTTAAAATTTTGCAAATTAGGAAAAAGTATAAATGCACTGCAAAAAGTGATAAAATGAGGTTTTCATGTGAATACATTCTGAGTGTCGTAAAACAATATTTGCCAATGGGACAAGCCATTTAGTCTCATTTCAAGAACTGTTGTCACATTGGCAAACTTGTTTTAAAGCCTCATATGTGCTCAAATTGAGATATGTATAACTTTTGACTTATTTTTCATCTTTTTTTGCAGTGTAAATATAAAAGGCATTCATAAAAAAAAAAAATCAGAATAGACATTTAACATGGCAATCTATTGGTAAGTGTTCAGAGGTATATATTATATAATGACGATTGTAATGGGCGTAATCTAGTGAAAAGTTCTGACGAGCACCCAACAATTACGTCTGAAATGAAACAAAATAAAAAAACATCATGCATCAAAAGTGTTTTTCATTTTAGTGATAATTTCTCGCCACCGACTATGTGCTTGTCAATTATAGCAGCCCCCTGACTGTAACCTTTGTGCATTATAAATAAGTCGTTTTAAATTATATAATCCCACTGAAGTCTTCCATTGCCCCTTGCGTTCCCGCTGTGTGGAGATGGGGCCCCAGGACACGTACGACCTCGGTGCAGTTTGTCTAATAACAGGAAACATGGCCCTGCTGCAGATCCTAATGAGACGCTGCCCAGAGCCAAAGACACTGATTACAGCAGGAAGAGGGTAGTTAACGTCCACATCGACCCCCAAACATCAGAAGCTCTGCCACATGTCCGCCCGCTATGCCCTGCAATACTCTGTCAGTGCAATAATGTGACAAGATATAGAATCACAGCAACAACAGATTAATGTAAATTAGCAAAATAATCCATAAAAAAACTCAACTACAATAATTTTTTATTTTATGAATCAAGATCCAGCTGTAAAAGTTTCCCCGTATTAATACCCGTTTTCTGATATACCAATGTCAAACTTTTACTTTGTTTGCTTTTTACACCAATGGACCACAATGCGTCAGTTCACATTAAATCCACCATAAATATTTGGAATAAGTCACAGCATGCAAACATGTTTGTTATTGGCGAGTTTATTAAGGCAGAGCCGCTCCGTGTTGACACTTGTCAAATTATAACCTTCAGATCATCGGCTGGATCTGACTGGTTTCTGTAGTATGTTGTAACATGTTTACATCAGAAAAAAACTAATACCAAAACACACGCACCTGAGTCAGACATTCAAGATCCAACAAACCAAGAAACATGAAATACTATTTTAAAAATTGGCCTTTTGCCTTCCAGTATAATTAGGTAAGTATTGAGATCAAAGACTTCTCAGCTTGAAGCCTTATTTCACTGCATTTTTTCTAACTGGAC